CACCTTGTGAGCACATGTTCTTCAGGCTATGTTCATGATTCTGTTTGGCTTTAACATAAATGTTGTTTTAGTCATGATATTTTAAATCCTGTTTTCTACTTCTGTCAAAGAATAACTGGCAGCTAATTAGCTCAGGTGGAGGTCTGTTTTAGAAACCAGGTTCTTTATTATTGTTTTGACAACAACAATTGGGCAAACGGTGTTTTTATAGGAAGTTTGGAAATGAACATCTGCTGTTTAACCTATTTAATTGTTGAGTCCAATAAAGTTTATTCAGGGGCATCCAATACAACCTGGTCCATCGTGAGACCTGAATCATATCAGCCGTAGTCACGCCACCGGAAGGAGAAAATGCTGAAGGAAGACAAGATGCAGTTGCAGTGTTGTTTTAGAAAATGACTCGAAATGACTTGAAATTTGAAGTTTCAGACTTGGGATTTGACCCAAACTTGAAGATAAAGACTTGACACTTACAAACTATGAGTTGGTCCTACCTTTGGTTTTGTGTATCTTGGACTGCACCTGATGACATTTTCAGTGAAACTGTGGACCTCATTATTCAGAACTGTTTAGTTGAATGTGATTAATCATGTGATTTCATACCCATTCGTCCATTAAATGTCAAGATCATTTGTCCAGTCTTGTCACTTGATTGTAAATACTACCTACATGTTTTTTACAGCTTCTAGTGTACTTGCAACAGGCAGTGCAACCCCCAAGTTCCTACAATGGTGTTGCCCCTTATTCTTCTTTTGATTTTGGTAAGAAGCTCCTGAAAATAGATGTTTAAAACCAAAGATCAAAAATATATAATGCCATCATTAGTCAGTTTTAAATAGAGTTTATTAATATGGAATTTCAAAGTAAATGTTCCTAAATGTAGCTTCACTAAGCTTAAAGAACTAAAACCCATTTAAAAGCCATTAAAACACAATCAAATGGAGCACATGAGAGAACTGGCACAGATCCAGTCTCTTCCTTCCTCCTGGCAGCTCTCCCTTTGCTGCTCAGGAAGTGATCAGCCCAGGTGAGTGCAGCTGTGCAGGTAGGAGGAGGAGGCAATGCACTGAGTATCGCAGTGTGTGATGTTCGCTGCTCAGTGCTGATTGACTTGGTTAGAATTCTCAGAGGGTGGGGTTATTTGAATGGGAGTGATACTAGGCCCTTTGCTTCCCATAAGGAGGTATTGGCATGACTGGCTTGGCTATCCAAAATGTCCCAGCACATTTTATGCTCAATAATGTTTTTCACTAAATGCACAGTGATTTATATAAATACGTTGGAACTAAGCTTTTAGGTCACTCAATCACTTCAGTTAAACTTTTGTGAATTCCCTTTTTTCAACCAGTGCTTTTATTTTGAAATTAAATATTTTATGTCTAAAAGTTAGAGGCCTCTTTCAAATCTGCACAATCACTATGCTGTGTTAAAACACTTTCTTACTTATTATTTTGTGTGTGTGTGTGTGTGTGGGGGGGGGGGTTGTCATAGATGTTGTAGAAATATTTGGGTTGAATAGCCATTGACATCATCTATGAACCTACAAAACTTCCGATGTGTCCTTTTACTTTAAGAACAAGGTGTTAAGAGCTTACAAACTTTATGGACCAGACCCTAAGGGTCCGATATATATATATATATATATATATATATATATATATATATATATATATATATATATATATATATATATATATATATATATATATATATATATATATATATATAATATTGAATGTGCTCACTCCCAAGAACCTAAGTGGGTTTTTGCGTGGAATGTCACTGGTGGAAGTGTTTAAGTTGCAAATAAAATTGGGGGGCAGGTTGCCACAGGAATGCAGAAATGGGGTCCATACCCGCACCCTCTGACTTGTCCACCCCCCAATGTCCTATGTGCATGTTTGTGTGATGATGTGAGAGAGCAGGAGGAGAAAAATGTGTGGGATGGGGAGGAATGGCTGGTTGGACTAAGCCCTCAAGGGAGCCAGCTCCCCCACTGGCCCCAGTAGGCATTTCTGTTGCCAAAAGGCCACCCAGGGCATGGATACCCCAGCCCATCTTGCCAGTGCCCAAAGCAACAGCATCACAGAGCCTCACAGAGTCTGAGGGCACCAACCCAGCCCCACCCCAGCAGAATATCTACTCCCATCCCTGCATTTGCACAACTTCCAGAATAGATAAGACATAGGACATCCAGGTAAGGTTGGGTCCTCGCCCTCCTGGACATCCTCCTCTGTGATGGGACAGCAGAGGAGCCAAGGTCTACCTGAGTTCCCCAAGCCCGGGCCAGGCACTGCCGGCAGCATACATGTCAGGACCCGACCCCCAAGGCCTCGCCCAGATCTCCACATGGGGCCGGCCACCCCCACACCCAGGCCACCACCCAGGCCTGCTCAGGGGCAATGCAGCTGCCAGGCAGCGACCCATGGCCACCCCCAAGACCCCCAAGGGGCCCCACTCACAACCGCCAGTATTCCACCCCCCAAGGCTTGAACATTTTAACATACACCTCAGCACTGGAGTGTTCCCTAAGGTTTTTAAAGATGTGGTTGTTCAGCTGATATTGGCAAAACCTGGTCCGGATCACTCCATTTATGAGAACTTCCACCTTATATTAAAAGTACGGTTCCTCTTGAAGGTTCTGGACAAAATTGTTCATGTACAGATTTCTGCACACATGGGCAGCAAGTCACTGTTGGATGTGTTTCAGTCCGCCTTCAGGCCACACCATAGCACTGAGTCTGCATTTATTAGAGTGCTAAATTACATTCTGGTGGTATCTGATTTTGGGTCTGGGGGCTGCTGATCTTGCAGGACCTTGGGGCTTTTGATATGGTCGATCACCATATTGTATTGGACCGGCTTCGGTCTTGGGTTGACGGGGGTGGCACATCAATGGTTCCACTCCTATCTATCCAACCGATCCATCTCTGTCCAGATTGGTGACTGTGGATCCTCCTGTCTCCCACTGCCTTGGGGGGTGCCACAAGGCTCCATTCTCGGGCCACTGCTTTTTTCAATCTACCTTCTGCAACTGGGCAAATGAATCAGCATGGCCTGAGCTATCACATCTATGCTGATGACTGCCAAATATATGAAGCAATGAATGAGGATAACGAGGGCTGCCTGGCATCCAATTTCTTAAAATTGAATGAAATGAAGACTGAGTCTATAATTTTTGACCCCCGCAATCACCATGGCTCTAATTCTGTTTGTGACTTTTTAACTCTCAACCCCAAATGGTGTGTGACAAGTCTCTGGGTAAAGCTAGATGCCGAGCTCTCAATGGCCCCACAGATTAACTCGGTCGTGAGGTCTTGCTTTTACCAGCTTCGCCGCCTTACTTGCCTCAGGAAAATCTTGAAGTGGAGGCACTTGGAGTCAGTCATCCATCCTTTCATTACCTCTCTCCTGGACTATGCAAACATCCTCCTAGTAGGTGCTCTGGTCTCTGCCCTAAATTAACTGCAGGTCGTTCAGAACGCTGCTGCCAGGATCTTGACAAACACACATCGACTTAGCCATATTACCCCTGTCCTGAGACATCTTCACTGGCTCCCTGTCCTGGAACATCTTCACTGGCTCCCTGTCATTTTCCGAGTACAGTTTAAGCTATTGACTTTTGTCTTTAAAGCACTCAATGACCTGTCACCTCCTTATCTCTCTGACCTGCTCACTCTCTGGTATTCACATGCATATTGAGGTTGGCTGACCTTCTGTTGCTTTGAACTCCTCTGATGCGTTACAAATAATGGGGTGGACAAGCAGTTGTACATGCTGCCCCAACACTGTGGAACTCTACCTATTATAGTTTGACAGGCTCCATTATTGGTGTTTTTCACATCTCGTTTAAAGACCCACTTCTACGACTTGGCTTTTAGACATTGACTTGTATTATTGTTTTAATGTGTTCTTAGTATTCCTAATGCTTTATTTGCTTTTATTCATCAGTATTTTTATCCTCTGTTTTTGTGTTGCTTTGATTAGTTGTGATTTGGTCCAGCCTGTGCAGCACTTTGGGCAGCTCCCATGGTGCATTTTAAATATGCTATATAAATAAATTATGGTACGGTATGGTGTGCGTGTGTGTGTGTGTGCATTTTAATGTGTGTACAGTATGTCTGTAAGACTTTTATTATGAATGCTAGAGGTATGGACATAAATGCATGAACCTGACTTGCAGCTATAATGCAGGAGAATGCAAGACTGATGGTAACTTGCATTTTTTTCTGGAATCTGTAAGATGCTGCTGACTCCCTGTGAGGGGCGTGTGATGACGGGTTGGAACGATAAGAGATCTGTTACTACATTTTTGCTTGCACCACAGCCACAGTATCATCTGAACTTTCTCCAAAACTCTGCCTATGATGGTTTCCAATTCCTAAAACAGAAAATGCCTTTTTTGGACTACACTAAAAGAACCATAAATAGATTTTTCTCTTGGATATTTACATTAATGAATATCGCGCCAACCCCCTCAGTCAAGATATAACTCTAATCCTTTCTTTTATCTCCTTTAAACAGTTTCTGTTGTGCAGAGTCACATATTTAACTTGGTATCAAACTGGACCATTCCATCACTCACATCACAAACAACAGATGATCCACATAAACAGCCTTTTTCCTCTCACACCCTGCAAATGTTGCTACGTCCCAATAACAGAAAATCAATTTGCCTTATTTGCTAGTTTACTAATTGTATTTATCAGACAGTTCAAACTTAGGAACACATAAAACTGCATTTACTGCTTTTTTAAAATGCCTTCTGGTTTTAAAATGTGAGCCTTATTGTAATTGGATTGGATGCTAAGCATGCTCTGTCTAAATCATCAGTCCAAAATCTAATAACATTTGTCTTGTTTATTGGGACAGGGCAGAACTCCACTGTTTCTCTTGTAGGATTGGAGAAACAGTCGATCCACAACCTTCCCCACCCCGTCCTTGTGGCTGTGCTTGCTTGGTGTTAGTCTTTCTCTTGTCTCGCCCTGTTTCCCCTCCAGGTTATGGACTGGTTCAGGAGGAGCTTCTGTCCCCGGCCTCCATGCAGTACAGCTTGCCCTCTCCGCTGGGCGTGGAGCCCTACTGGCAGGAGGTTTCCAGCCTGGAGTGTGCACCCATTGCCACCACAGAAGAAGACACTCTAATGGAGATGTCAGACGTTCAGGTGTGGCCAGCAGGGGTCAGCCCCTCGCTGGTCACAGTAGAGGACTCGTCTCTAGATGGCAGCAGTCGGGCTGACGACTCTGAGGGCGCCACACTCTCGTTACCATGCAGCTTAGGACGCCCAAGCAGTGGAGCCAGTGGGGCCAGTGGTTCCATCATGGAGCTGGAAGAAGAAGAGGAGGAGGAGGAGGAGGAGGAAAGGGAGGTTGAGGAGGAGGAGGCACCACAGGAGCCAGCGAGTGCACTGGCTGAAAGGGACAAAGTGAGGGCCAGTGGCGCTGTTCCGAAGGTCAATCTAAACGGGCAGCTGGGAGGTCAGAGGTCAGACTCAAGGAGAGGGGAGGCCCTGGTGATGGGAGGAGGCACGAAAGGAGGAGCTGGAGGTGTAGGGTTGGGCTCAGTGGAAGGGATTTCTCTTGTTGCAGGCCAGCAGGTGTATGCCCAGCGAAGTGAGCTGATAGGCCTGAGTCAGCCAGCAGAACACAACGGGGACAACCGGTACTTCACCTGTCAGAATATTAAACCCAAGGCATTATGAGTCTCTGATTTTTCACGGTTTCTCCTCCTTGTTTTATTCTCATTCTGTTTTCCAGGATGGCAGGAGGTGGTGCGTTTCAACCCTACTTACCAGACAAGGACTCCTTGCAGGGCTGGGTGGGCTCTGTGTCATCGGGACATGATGGGAGCATTCCAGGCTTGCACATGACGCAGGAGGCCCTGCTGACTTCGGTGTGTGACACGGGTTACTCTCATGTGCTACGTGGGCGCCTTCTGAAGGGCACACTGCCTTTTGAGAGGGGGTTGGGCTTCTCTCATCAGGAGGCGGGCCAACGTACATGGGAGCAGGAGCAGAGGCAAGGCCAGGTCAGGTTGTCCTGCCGACCAACCGCCGCTTCCTGAGCCCAGAGGGGGAGAACATTTTAATACATCTCCTATTTTATCTCCTCTAAACAATCAAATTGAATTCCAATTTGATTTCAATTGGTCATGAACAGTTTTTGTCCTCTTTAATTATAGAACAATCATCAAAACGGATGATTGATCATTTTGATTTAAGGACATATCTGGCTGTCGGCGTCTCGGCAACCAGACAGGAGCCACAAGATTGCAAAAACATGCCAAATTTCTATTATGTAACTGTTAAAACCGTGAATAAACTGCAAAATTTTTGCTCACTATTCAATCACCGATAATCTTTTTGCAATTTTGTCGCACTTGACTCAAGCCTGGATTGTAGTTTTTTTCTTTTGTCTCCAATCAGAGACATCTTACAGTTGGGCAAAACGGGAAATGAATAGTTTAGTCAAAAAATGAGACACTTTAATTTCTCTGAAATATATGATCCTGGAAAAAAACTCATTCAATCCAGTGATGGCCTCTTAGCTATATTGTTGGCTGATAATCCATCCATTAATCTGCTCTTCTGAATGTCTCTCACTCCACTGCATCGAACTCATTCTGTGCACGAAACGCTCATTCTTGGTGGGGCACCTGCTGAACAGGAAGTGAAGCCAGCAGAGCTGCCTAGTTGTCACAAATGGAATGTCCCGTTCTGTTTGCAAATCTCATTTAAGGAGGTTTGTTGCATGTTATGTTTAAGGTCTGTTTCTGGAAAATGTTTAGGTGATGAAGCTATTGCCTGGGAAGCAGCTAAGTCTCAACACTCAATTGTGTGTGTATGTGTGTGTGGACGCGTTATTGTGAGCAGGCAGAAAAGACAGAAATTGAAGTCTTCTGGAAGTTTTGTGGGTGGTGGGAATTCTCCCGATTATCTGTGGCGCTAAGCTTCTGTGATTTTGAATTTGATTGTTTTTCACCCAAAAAAATAATAATCATATACTAGAGTTGTGTGTGTGTGTGTGTGCGTGCGTGTGTGTGTGTGTGTGTGTGTGTGTGTGTGTGTGTGTGTGTGTGTGTGTGTGTGTGTGTGTGTGTGTGTGTGTGTGTGTGTGTGTGTGTGTGTGTGTGTGTGTGTGTGTGTGTGTGTGTGTGTGTGTGTGTGTGTGTGTGTGTGTGTTGGGGGGACGTAGCACAAAGGGAGTGAAAAGAGGTTTAGTTCTGTGTGGGGCTGGCTATGGGAGTTTTGACATTAGAAGCTCAGCAGAGCTGTGTGTCTGCTCGTGTGGGTGTTGTACCGTTTTCTGCAACCGTCAGATTCTGTGACTTTAGAGTGGAACCTGACAAAAAGGGTTGGACATTTGAATTATTTTTTCATTGTAACTTGCTTGAACGGTTTTTACCGAGAACAAATACAGCACCTTTAATAAAACAAGTTCACGACCCCAGTGACACAACAGCAAGATTCTGTGATTACAAAACCGAGAACTCTCGTGAACAAATCAAGACTTGTGGGAAACATTCTTGCAATTTAGCGCCACCAGTCGCAGACCGATGAGCGATTGGCTTTCGTCACATACACTAACTCAAGCAATTTTTTTGACAAAAAAATTGTTTAACAATAGTTGACAGTTTTGATGGCAAACCATGTCACATGAAAAGGGTGTGGCTGTTCACAGGCTTATTGTGTGATTTTCTTTTACAGAGAGAACAGAAGGAAGGCTGGTCTGCTGAGGTGCAAGAGCAGGGAAATGTGCTCGCTAGAAAGGTGAACCAATTGTGTTTTTATTATTTCCACTGCGTAACATTCACATACTGCAAATCCATGTGTACAGCTCTGACTGTATGTTCATCGCATGCCCTGAAACACATAACTGGTTAATCACATTAGTCACCAGACAAGTGTTCACTAATGTATTTTGTCTTTTTTGAGGATAATTGAATAAACACATCTATGAATTCAGAAATCTGCATTTAAACCTTGTAAAATTATAAAATACTTGGTGGCCTGAATGAACACTAAATGCAAAACTGTTTATAAACAGTGAGTCGTAGTTAGTTTCCTGCTCTGGTTTCATGTGGAGGCTGCAGCAGTTAACTGGTCCAACCCTTCTCCGTTCCCCTCCTCCTGCCATTCTTGCTGCAGGTGGGGGTGGATGTGAGAAAGGGTGTTCAGTCAGTGCAGCGGACCAATCTGCGGAGAGTTAAACACTGAAATACACACACCTCCCAGTCCTTCAGGTATGGGACACACAACAAGCACTTGTGCATCCCAGTGCTTGGATAGTATCCGCTGGGAGTAATTTCCCTCTGGAATTAATAAAGTGTCGTTGTACCCTGTAAATGACGACCCATTGGACTCTGACTGAGCCTAAATAGTTCCTTTATAAGCTGCTCTGCTTCACTCATGTTTACTTTTTGCAACCCTGTTTGCAAAGGGAAATAAATGTAGACGTTAAATGTAGAGTCTTATTATTTAAAAACCATTTGAGCTGCCACAGGACTTAATGCAAAGGCAACATATCAGCTTATGTCAAGTAAAATGCCTTTTGGAGAATTTTTTTTCTCCTTTTTTCTCTTTTCCTTCTATTTACCTTTTTATTTTTGGGGCATTACTGTATCACAAGATGCATGAAATGTTCAGTGGTCTTGGGGAAATGTGGGTAAACAGCAACATAAAGGCTTGCCAATCTCACTAGATTCACGTGTGATTATGAAATGTGGAAAATTCATAGAACTTATCAACCTAAATCTTTTGGAGGAAAGACCTAGACCCACAGATTCAAGGGCGTGCCATTGATGCAATAAAAGTTCAATTCGACATCATGCCGCTGAAGCCTGAGTCGTACTTCTCGGTCAGCTCAGTTTAGGAGTCGGGCACATGCATTGAAGGTAGTGGGCGCAGTTCTTTTCTGGGCTATCCAGCCAACATTGCAGTCACGTCTCCAGTCCATAGCAGTGTATTAACTATTATGTTTAAAGAGGTCCTTTACTCTTTTTTGTACTACATTTGCAGTGGTCTCTAGCAGGAATAAATGCCTGGTGCTCCGGTGCATCTGTTTCAGCACAGAGAATTCAGCCAGAGGAGAAAGTAGCTTCAGAGGACAGGATTTGGAGTTTTATTTCTAGATTACTAGACATTTCGCCTCTGATTGCAAAGCGAATTTACCACTGACTCTCTGTGCTCTGCAATGTTGATGTTTTATCTCCACAAATACAGTAACACAAGCCTGAAGGAGTTCTGCCATGTGGTGGAGTAGCTAATGCTAATATCTAGCTTATACAAGCCTTCCCAGTTACAAGTCAAGATGGGTGAGTCCATGAATGTTACGTGACAGTGTGATGTAGATCTGTCAGGATTTTCTAATCCTAGAGTTTCACCGTCTATGACCAATCATTTTAAAAAATAATAAGTAAAAATGATTTCTAAGTGGACCCTTATTTCAGAGACTTCTGAACACAAACAAATGTGTCCTTCATTCGTGTCCACCTCTTTATGCAATCGCCATCTCCAAACAAACATTTTTCATCATTTCCATCCGTGAAAAAAAGGTTTGCTGCGTATCTTTGTACTCCTTCAGTCACATGTGTTCATGTCGTCTGACATTTTCCCTGAGATGTTCTTCAATCTGCTCTTTTTAATTTTTTTAGAGGGGACGGGTGGTGCTGTTGACTAATTTAAAGGAAACAGTGTCCTGACCAATAACAAGCTTGTGGTCTATGTTGCTTTAGATAGATAGTTAAAAATGTGAGCATGTTTCTGTCACCATATGCGGGTCTGCTGCAGAGGCCTTGCATCGACACATAATGGTGTTTCATGCCTCCCTACCCACGCAGACAGAGGAGAATTATTCAGGTTTTAATATTTATGTAAACACATTTCATTTATTCTGCACCTAATTTAAAATGAGACATTTAAACAATATGTTTCTATGTTATCTTGGTGTCAGACAATGGAAAAGTGGGATGATTTCAGGGTGTTAACTCTGCATCTTGCTTGGGCTCAGGCTAGGGGAAATGGTATTTTTTTCATCCTCAAGACCCATAAAAAATTCTGCCACACTCAGTAGCTTTACAACCTACAGAAGTTGGCCTTTTTATTTATTTTTAAGGTTCAAATGTTTTTTAAATCATCACATCCCACTTTTAACTCCCTTCTCACCACTTCCAACCCTCTCAGGAAGCTGTATTGTTCCACTGTCTACATGTTAATGTGTATTTTCAGTAATTATGTGTTTGTAAGACGATTGTATTTCTAATTTTGCTCAGGACCGGAAAGCCACTGCCAAAACGTCCTCCACTAAAACACGACCAGACCGGAGAGGAAAATGAGCAGAGGAGAAAAAGACGAGACGAAAAGAGAAAACTAAAAGGACTAACAGAACCATCCTCAACCTGTGATAATGAAGCACCACAAGACAGAAGATCAGAAAAAAAGAGGAGTTCACGTTGTAGTTTTTTAACATTTGTAAAGAAAAAAGATCAACTAAACTAAAGCATGATGATTCATTTTTATACAAAAAATATATAAATGTTCGTAAAACAACAAGAAAAATAAGCAACAAAGTGCTTCCTGTGAACTGTAATCGCATGACTGCTGGTGCATGCCCTTTGACCTTTTGAACTGTCATTATCTACAAACTGAAGGGGTGTAAGGTACAGGGACTGGCCTACAAATGGGTCACAGGCCTTTTTAAGGACCTTCTTCCCCCATCTGGAGTGGTTTGTGTCAGCAAGTTGAGTCTGATAACAGTGCAGCCAAAAAGCGTTCCTCAAAGGATGGTTGTGTTTGCAGCAAAGCCTCTGCTGAGCCTACCAATGCTTCTTTCACCCAACCCTTTTCCTTAATAATCCTAATGTGATATATGCACTCTGTGCTACATGTGGACACGTGTCGGTGTGTATGTGTGCGTGTAAATTGCTCTACCGCATGAGTTTCTTGCTTCTGGGTTGGCGATGAGCCTCGTCCCTTGATTTGGCTTGTTGTCTCTGTGATGTCATGGCGTGCTCAATGGTGCAATGCAAAAGCAGCTGCTCTTCTCTTGTGAGTTCTTGTCTGCGTGTCTTTTGTTTCCTCTTTTGTTTCTGTTGAGACAAGCTTGCTTCCACTTTGGTGCTTGTCCACTTCAGTTCTCTGTATTGTTTGACTTTAGTAGAGAACCAAACCTCTGTCAGCCTTGTGTTTCAGGGGAAATGTGTCAAACCAAGACAGCAGAATGTTTTCTTTCGAAAAAGAGTTGGTTGCTTGATTGCATTGCACAGCGGCTCTACAATGCAAATGTTAACTTTTGTGTTTCGTTTTACACTTTCTTTCCTGAGTAGCATATGTCGTTTTCATCAGCAGCCCTTACATATATATGCAGTAAAATCACAGCCCTCTCCCGTCAGTATCCAACTTTTTTGCTCGGGCGCCTCATTACCAACTTTTAGGTAATTATTTTAAACAAAAGAGAATAAACAAAAGCTGCAGCCACATTTCCTGCCCCAAGTCAAGCTTGTTTCTAGTGTTGTTTGGACTCCACTTGGGCTGCCCCAAGGCGTGGAGAGGAGGGTGTTTGGTTTGGGAATCTCGAAGTGTAATTTCTGCATTTTGCAGATTATGTGATTCTGTCGGTGTCTTGAAGTCTTGACTTTTACCATGAAGTTCCTGGGATAGGGAGCCTAAGCCTCCTCCCATTCAGGTCAGCTCATGGCTCCCAGGAAGAACAAAAAAATGAGGCTATGGGGCTAAAAGAGCTACTTTCTAATCTGCTTTGTATCACGCCCTAAATCACACACATCTTTTTTCCGTGTCTGGTTCATTGACATCAGTTTGGAGTCATGGACGTATTTTCACACAAAACCTCAAATAACTCCCCCCCCCCCCCCGTTTGAAAATAAAAGTGTTCTTGGTATCAGAATGTGTCTTTAAGATTCACTGACATCCTATGTGAAATCCTTGGCACATAACAAACAGGATTAGAAAATAGATTTTATAGCCCCATTGACTTGCATTCATGTTCTCGTTCTTGGGGACCCATGGTCCAGAAGTAGATGGACTTAGGCTCCCTATTGGAGTAATCTTTTCAAAGTCTGAGACCATGGTACTTGATAGGAGAACTATAGAATGCATGCTTAAAGTGTCTCCTTTAGGAAGAGAATTGAGAGTTATCAGTTTTTCTTGAATGATTGTAGGATGGAGTGAAAGATTGACCAATGCAATGGAAGAGGTGTAGCAGTAATCGGGGTGTTGATCCAACCCGTTGTGGTAAGAAAGAAGCAGTCGAAAGGAGAATCTCTTGATTTGGTTGGTCTATGATCACAAGACTTTGATCAGGACTGATAGACAATCTGGTTACAAGTGACTGAAATGAGCTTCCTCCATTAGGTGGCTGAGCTCAGCCTTAGAAATAAAGTGAGGAGTTCCAACAATTGGAGATCTTGGCAGAGCTGCTGCTCTTCCTCATCAAAATAGTCAGCTGATTACTCTTAAGCTTTACTGGCCACGATTTATCCACCCTGAGAAGGCTTTGGGATTTCCCAAGAGGGGCTGGGGAGAGGGATGCCTAGGCCTCCTTTCATGACCCAATGTTGGATAATAGTGGAAAGTGGATGAATGGATGGATGAATGGGATGAACATGCAAAAACACATGTTATGGAACTAGTTGGAGAATTTCTGTCAGGTGGGAAATGGCTTTATGCTCCAAGAGTTTATCATCACAAGAGGAACTGTGCAGCGAGGACAGACAGGTAGCACTGTGACTGTCGTATCAACACTGACCCCAGACTCGTGAACATATCCACAAATACACTCACACGTTGTACAAGCACACACACCCCATATCCACCGATCTGACTGTCATACACCTTTAGCTGCAGCAATAATACTTAAGAAGAAAAACTGATGGACGGTTTGAGTCAAAAAAGACTGAATCTGGAGGTAAAGGATTTGAGTCTGACGAAAGTTCAAAAGCACACGCCGAGACCCCGATGCAAACTGCTGTGACTGTCACGGCAACCATGTGGGCTGGAAACCAGAGGTTTTTGTTTCAGCACTAAACGTAGCAACATCACAATATGTTCTTTTAAAAGTATATTTTTAGTAAGTTTGCTGCTGTTTTAAGATGGAATTCACTTAAAATCTTTTTTAAGTTTCCTGCATCATTAAAGCTCTTAGAATTTCACAAATTCACCAAAGTTGTATTGTTTTACATCAATTATGTATCATTCAACACTTTATGCAGAAACCTGACAGCAGCACTATGTAGACAGTGTATCATAGTAGCACACATTCCTGGAAAACACACTATTTATCCCATAAGTACTGTAAACGCTACTGTAGCCTGGATGATTGTGGCACCAAATGAATGAATGAATGAATGAATGAATGAATGAATGAACGAACACATTAGTGCATGTATTTTCATAAACCATGTCATGTAAGTGAACCTCATCTGATGATAGCACGTTTTAACATATCACATGTTACACTCAGGTTTTTATTTTTGCTCTGTTAGAGACAAAAATGGTTTGGATTACCAGGACGTCCTCCAGAAGATGAATGTGGAAATATTTCAAAAACTTTGCTGTTGGGGCTGTTTAGGTGGGAAAGGGGTGTTCTTGTTGGATGCATGAAGCAGAAAATATAGTGTATTTGTGAAAACATGTGCATTAAGTCAATTAAGACCAAAAAAAGTGTTGAATGTGTCAGAAACCTCTTCCTGTTTGAGGGTGCCAGTCATGTTTACCCTCAGTCATTTTTATCGTTGACAAAACTAAACTGAACCAAACCTACTTTGTGTGAAGCACAAAAATGTACTTTGATGGATGTTATATTAGTTTCATTGAACTTTTTTGTAGAGTGTCAACGGAAATCTTACTTGAATAACTCAAAATAGCAGTGCTGCTAAAAGCTAAGAAAATTTGCTGTCATACCAGGGCTGGGACAAATCTAATTGCTCCCTTGCAGATTTTTATTTTTGTCACTTAAATGTTTCAGAACAGACAACGATGACTATCCAAACACCCTGACCATAAGCGAAAAAAGTTACTTCCTCCAGGTGTTTCATCACAAATTTTCTGCGATCATCTACCATTTTTGGAAAGTTAATTTCAGTTTCACTACCTTCAAATAGACTTGAACTGCAGAATTAAAAACTAATCACTTTAATAGAACTCATCTGACAACATGAAGTAGGCTAAAAGATCTCAAAAAGCAATCCATCATGCCCCAGTCGAAAGAAATGTACGAACAGAACAACATCTAAATTACTGTTGACCTTAGTTAACGCTCTAAAGTTAGAGTTCATTAATCAACAATACGAGGAGAAAGGGTTAAAACATTATTGGTGGAAGAGTTCCAAACTGAGAAGAAACAACAAGCAAAAACACAAAAACTCATCTCACGTTTACCAGAAAACATCTAGATTATGCCCAAGAAATTTGGGGAAATATTCTGATGAGACAAAAACAGAATTGCTAGGAAGAGTGTAATTTCTTCTGGTGTACATCATCACACAAACGGTCAAACATGGTGGAGGTAGTGTGATGGTGCGGGGCTGCTTCTGGACCTAGACCACTCACTGTAGCTGATAGAGCCATGAATTCTCCTCACTACCTGAAGCACCTGGGGCATGTGAAGAGTGTCTCATCTTTGATGATCTCCCAATGCAGCTGAATTCAAACAATTCAACATCTATTCTCTCTCTCTCTCTCTCTCTCTCTCTCTCTCTCTCTCTCTCTCTCTCTCTCTCTATATATATATATATATATATATATATATATATATATATATCATCTATCTATCATATATATATATATATCATCTATCTATCATATATATATATATATATATATATATATATATATATATATATATATATATATATATATATAATCATTTGTCAGGTTTACAGATCAGCTACTTTTTTACACAGACCCAAGCTGGTTTCAATATATTTGTCCTTGAAAGTGTGGAACACTGAAAAAACATTTTATTATCACTTTAATTTTTTCATGCAGGCTGATCATGAAAACAGTCTCCTATACCTGTCTCCTGCATTAGCTTCTGCACTAGTATTTGAAAATCCTCAGAGATCTACGTCACATTGTCACTTAACATTCATGGACTCACTCCTCATGACTAGCGATGGGGAAGGCTGCTGTTGTTCAAGCGTCCAAGAAACAGCAGAGAGCGTATCAGCTGAAGCTAACTGTTAGCATTAGCAACTCCACCCCACAGCAGAAGCTCCTTCAGGCTTATGTTATTTGCGGAGATAAAACATCCACATTGCAAGTCAGTGGTTGAGTTTTGTTGCTGTTATCCAATCAGAGGCTAAATGTCCCAAAATAAGGAAATAAGACTCCAAATTCCATCATCTGAAACTCAGCTCTGATGTGGCAATTTTCTATTACCTAAAACTGGTGCAGCTGGGGGTTTTTTTCCCCACAGTACAACTCACAATGCATTTATTCTTACTAGAGATCAATGCAAATGTATTGATTAAAAGAGTGTTCCACAAGTTTAATCAATCAGTTCATCAATTTAAAACAGGATTTGTATGTTTTCAGGTTATCTATTGAAATTAGTTTGCTGATCTGAAACATTTAAACTTTACAAAAAAAAGCAAATATAGAACAAATCTGTATGGGGGTCAATTTTTTGCAGTACAATAAATTTACTAAAAGTGTAAAGCTTTTAGAAGATGGGAGGTAAAGACAAATTCAGATTATTCAGAAAGTAGATGTTGAAAGTTCTAATCAACACAAACCTGTATTTTGAAGCTCTTCGTGTAGCAGGGATATTTGCCATGATGGCTAAAAGAAACCTCGGCTAACATGTTGCAGACTTATACCTTTGATAGTGTCAATCCACTCTGTCAAACGGCGTACCACACTTTTTCTCCTTAAAACTGTTTTCATTTTGAGAATGACTTGTACAAATATGATTTGTTGTTCATCATCTGATCAGAAATGATGTTCACTCCTGCACCTCCAACGTGTTTGTTCAGTATGAAAGTGTGTGTGCATGATGACGCTCGGTTCCAAACCTAGTTGGGTCAAAAAGAAGAGGAAAAATAAAGAGGACATTTTTACCTGGCATGTGAGTGAAGATGACGTGTAACTTACAATGGTGTATTTTAAAATGAGTGTTGTACAATTTTAACTGTTGCAAAGAGTAGAGCTCACCTATACTCCTTTAGACTGGATACATGACAATGTTAACGCAATATCATATTACACAATCCTAAGGAATGCAACTGCGCACATGCACAAAAAAAGATGTTTTTATGAAAATGTATGTATAAATATATGACAAAATCTATTTAATTAGAATGCTATGCACCCTCATAGAATTGTTATGGATGTTCTTTAAGCATTAACACGTCCAATGCCCACTTCATGGGGAATGTAGAGGCTTTGTAACGCGGTGCATTTGTTTTCTTTTCTTTTGTATCGCCCGCAGAGAGGATAAACAAAGGTGAACATGTATACAAGCCGTTCGATCAGAACTTAGCTGACATGAAGATATGTAGAAATCATGTTACCCTGTACACCAGCTCTAACCATTTACAAGACTTAATAAACAAACAAGATGGGACCTAATAAGCTGCTTGTGTTTTTGGTTAAAAGCTGAATAAGTGCTGATTTGTAGTTGAGTGAATCAGGTGCATTTGATATTTTCATCCAATGTTGCTATTTTTTGTTTGATTGGCTCGTTTGCAATTTTATGATGCTTATGCAAACAAAATGTATCTAAAAATGACCTAATCAGGGGAATTTAAAGGTTCCATATCATGCTTTTTTAAACATTTTAGAACAAAGGTAGGCACAATATATGATAACATGTTACCGTTGGCACTACTGAGATGTAATTTGTCTTAAAAATCAGTTATTTTTGTCAGCCTGAATTTATGCCCAGAAATAAAAACGGGTTAGTTTCAATGAAACTCCTTTCATTCCCGCTCCAACAAAATGTGCCGAGTCAGCGGCTGACCTGTGTATGGAAGTCCAGTGGTTAAGGCATTTACCTGGGCGCTTTAACCACTGGACGACCAAGTTTGTTACATGACAATAGTCCACTAACACACATCCTGTGCTGGCCAGGGGAGACAGGTTTCAGACCAGAGACTAGCTTCCAAGAGAGGAGCAGGGCCTGATGACGAGACAATAGTTTCCATGAAGGCTTTACAGGATTTTCAAAGTAAAACTCAAAATTAGCAGCTGAGACGGGAAAATGCTGCCAAAAATGTTTTTTTTTTCATGAGGAAATAACATCACATGGTAAAAAGCTCCAACATGTAGATTTTCCATGACATGGCCTCTTCAAGTACTAAGTATGACATTAATGAAAATGTGCAGCATTCCAAAGTTTTTTCTGGTTCCTGGTTTAAACCTTTCAGACGTGCCGACCCTAGCATATGACTCCTATCAACCATATTACAGCCATGTGATCCAGTTTTTTAAGGGTTAAAGGCTCTGATAAGATCATCTAATAACTGGAACAAGATGGAGTCCACCCTTTTAGACAAACAGGATGAGCTAAATTTGATACTAACTTGTAAACATCAGACATTTTCTCAGTTTCCTGACCGGTTTAGGTAATGGGGTGTTTAATGTGAGCCTGGTTTGGAAAAGGCACTGGAATAGGATTGTTATGGTATGGGCATGAGGAAGGAGCTTGAGACATGTCAATGATGGGACTTATAAGGAGAAATCTCTGTTTCAAAATAATAGCTACAAAATATATTGTCCACGTAGCGCTGGGCAATAAATCAAAAAATTATTATCGAATTTTCTGACTCGTTTCGAGACGTCTGCGAAGGTTCTCAGTCATCCAGATCATTGTAGTCTAATGAACATTGAAAGAAAAGCGTCTGGACTTCTTTGAGTTGCTTGAAGACGTTTCACCTCTCATCAGAGAGGCTTCTTCTGTTCTAAGGTCAAATGGTGGAGAGTCCCAGATTTAAACCCAGTGGGAGTTTCCCCCCGAAGAGGGAACAAAAGACCCCTGATGATCTTCTACATAAACACATGAGCCAAGGTGTGAGGGTGGGTGTGGGTCCGATTCAGCCAGAGTTTCGGGTGAGCTCATTGTGAAGCCTGGCCCCACCCTATTATTTCTTTCAAAGCTCATTAGACTCGTTTCGAGATCATTTTTTCCATGTCAAAATTTTGATAATAAAAAAATAATAAAAAGAAGTGTGTAGGTTCACAACATTCATGTCCTGAAGCTGTACCAGTGTGACTCAACCTAATACACGTGACAGCTCCATCTAATGGACAACTTTTGTTTCTGTGCATACCTGTAGTTATCGTCCATTTATCATTATTGAGGTGAAGTCCTCAATTTATCGTGATACTGATTTTAGACCATATCACCAAGCCCTATGTCCATATGACCCACCACCTTCCTTAAAAAAAATGAAAACACAAATATCTTACAATATCTTATAAGAAAATGATAAATGACCAGCACTTTTATAGTGTCTTCCTGAGTCAGAGGACTCAAAAGTGCATTGGCGGTTTTAAACAGGGGCCCACGGGGGCCTGGGCCCCTATAGAACCGGCCCTGGCCCCTGTTATGGCCCCTGTGCTGAAGAGATTGGATTTTTTTTCTCGCGCTGCCTCGGAGATGGGAACTAATGCGCTGCAGCGTTTCAAAAGGAGCCTTTAGAGCGCAGCACACTCTGTGGACAGAACTGTTTACCCGGTGGATTTTTGAACAAAAGATTAAAAATAGTTTAAATGGGACCCGAAGAAATTCTTGAGGACGACTAACGGAAAAGACGCTGAGAGAAGAAGGCAAGCAATACAGTTTATTTTCCTGACATCAATGAATTTCCTTTGGCAAAATTGTGCACAAGCACAAAATTTGTCATATGGCGACGACAAAAAAGAATTTTGATATTGCACTAATTTTTCCCTTTTTTTCTTGCGCCCCCATGAAAAAAATACTGGCCCCACTATGGCCCCCCTGGAAAATTTGGCCTAGAACTGCCCCTGCAAAAGTGATTTACACTAGTGGATCCTTCATCTATTCAAACACTGGTGGTGATGAGCTACGTAGTGGCCACTGTTGCTGGGGCACACTGGCAGACGAGATGCTGTCTTACACTGGCCTGGCCTGCCAGACTTGTCCTCTGTTTAATTCTATACAGAGAACTTCCCATAAGGAAGCATGAGGCTGCTGGTCAGGCTAGCATTACACTGCACTACATAATTTGTGCTAAAAATATAAACAAGATGGACAAACAAATGTAAAGGTAAGACATGTCATACCTGCAGTCATATAATATTAGAACAAATAGAAAAAAAAAATCAAAATAAGACCTAAGAAATTCATCATCTTTCTTTTGATCAACTGAGAAATTATCTCTAATGGTTTTTGGTAGTACAGCACGGGTTTATTAATTAAATCCTGATCTTTTTTGTGATTGAACCAAAAAAAAAATGTGAACAAATTGTGTCTTTGTGGCAAAGTGCTAGTAGCAGACTGCTCATTGAGCCAAAAGGTTTGGTGTATAGTGTCATACACATTGATTTTGAATTATGTTTCAAAACTATTTCAGTGCAGAATGTCAGCGTCCTCATAAGTGGAACTATTATGCTGTTTTATACTTTGAATTTAGGAGTGATTTGTATACAAATGGGTTCTAATTTAAGTGGCTTAACAAACAAAATCATGTCCCTGGAATTAGCCAGCTTCTGGACTGAAATTAGTGAAAATGCAGCCAAAGTTGAGAAAAAAACTGTTGATTCAGGCCAGATCACTTTAAAATATTACAGAAAAATCTGTTGAGAGCTAAAGGGTGACTCGGCACTAATATGTGAGTTTAATTAAATTTCTAAGAGTCTTTTTTTACATTTTTAAAGAGTATTTCTAAAAGTTGGTAACATTTTTCTCACACTCTGGATCCTGGGATTTGGATTTGATTTGTTTGATAGAAAGGTCATGGAGAAAAAACACTTCCGCTGTTGGTGCCGCCCCTCGTTTTCAGCCAATCACAGCTCGCCATTCCACGTGATGTTTTGTAGGAAACCCCTGAGTTGTTTTGGGTTTTTCTTCAACCACGTGGAGGGTTCCAGTCAGAGCTCACATCGCGGCTTGTGATCACCTCCAAACGCCGAACGCGTCTGTAACCGTCCGCGGTGAGAGGAGATGTCAGCGGCCGGTCAGACCTCCAGGAGCCGGGAGATCCCCGCCGTCAGGAGGATCGCCATCCACGATGCTGCCCACATGCCCCAGGATTACTCCACCACCCCGGGGGGGACCGTGTTCAGCACCACGCCTGGAGGTGTGGATGCAGATATTTGTGATGTTTTATTAATTTTCATTGGATAAATTAGATTTATTAGTTTACATAACCACACGCTTTTACCAGATGAATGCGTTCTCAGAAATAATCTATTTATAGCCCTGCACTGCAGCAGCAGCAACATGTTTACTGCTGCAGACCTGATTTCACAGATGATGGCTTCTACACGATCATCATGTTACATTTTTTTCTTACTGGTGATCAGAAGGTTCACAGAAATGAATATATCATCTCATTTTTTATTTAATCTTTATTTATTTTATATCAGAGACAATTAAAGTGCCACCGGAAAACCCAAAGAGAATAGAGAAGATGGTAAGTGTTTTCTATTGAAAGCCTGGAATATTCGAGCCATTATCCAACATTTCACACAAACATGGACACAGGGAGCTCTGGGGAATTTCCTGCATGAGAGAGAGGTAGGTGGTGGAGGGGAAACCTGACCAGATGCACTTGTTCTTTCGTGACTGATAACATGTTCTGAAACATCAGCAGGTGGGACAGTTTAAACAGATTAAACATTCCCGGGTTTGAATAAACAACTGGGTTACTGGTCAGGGCCATGTGGAGCCGGGACGGGGAGAGAAGTCACTTCTGGAAAATACCACAAAAACAATATTTGTGCTAATATTTAATTTTTTTAATAGTGAGGAAATCTTTTTAACATAAGGTTTATTCATGATTTTATTTCAATGCATTAAAAAAAACATGTTTTACAAATGTGTTTGATTTTAAACATGTATTTATTTCAACTTATTTTTTATTGGGCGTATAATTATTTTTTACTCATTATGCTTTTTAATTATTTATTTTAAATTATTGGCTTATTCTATTTACTTTTTTATTTTTAGAGTCATTGTCGTTCCATGCTGTTTTTGATCATGTTATCTGTTTTGTATTCACAAATGTTCTTTATTGTTTATTGTTACTGAAAGTTTAGGAACGTGATCTAAAATCTTTTATTTTTTATGTATGATGTTTGAAGGGTAATTTTAGCCTGTGTAAGGGCCTGTATTTCTATAGCACCTTCTTAGGGTTCTACAACCCCCAAGACACTTCACACACACACACACACACACACACACACACACACACACACACACACACACACACACACACACACACACACACACACACACAGGTGGGGATGAGTTACGATGTAGCCACAGCTGCCGCAGGGCTCACTGACAGAGGTGAGGCCTGCACTGGTGAACACTGGTGCCACCGGTCCCTCTGACCACCACCAGCAGGCATGGTAGGTGTGTTAAGCAGCATTCTGTGCCTGGATCGAACCTGCAACCTTCCGATTACTGGACAACCTCCTGCTGTTTCATCATGATCATCTAGATATTTTTAACCTAAATGAAAACCTCAATCTATCTGATATTTCATACCAAGGAAAACTCAATAAAATATAAATTTCCCGCTTTTTTTTGGAGCCTGTTTTGTGTAGAAAATAAATATTAGCATGGCCATAGGCTTTTAAACATTTATTCAAATATCCACATTATTTTCATTATTTGTTTTTCCCGTTAAGTTTGTCTCATGCTTCAATAAAACAATTGAATAAAATGTGTTCTGCCAAGCATTTGACCTGCCAGTCACACGGTTAAACAGCCAAAGTATTGGAGCCTTGTACTTATTTTGTGTTTTCTAGCCGTTTTATACACTAATGTCAGTCAGTCAAGACGTGATATAAATGCTGCTCTTGCTAGGATGTGATCGTGCCACCTGTTCTCTGCTGGCAGGTACCAGGATCATCTATGACAGGAAGTTCCTCCTGCAGTGTCGGATGTCTCCGTTGACTCGGACGCCTCCCAACCTCCCTGATATCCCAGGAGTCACCAGGCAGCTGAACCCAGATTCCTCTAACGACACAAACCAACCAGAAGAGACGCCTAACAAGAGCCACCACAACAACACACACACACAGCAGAGTCCAGGTAAAGTTACCTGATTAGACAGACAGACAGACAGACAGATAGACAGATAGACAGATAGATAGATAGATAGATAGATAGATAGATAGATAGATAGATAGAAAGATATTTCCTGTTCCTAAACATAATGTCTTCTTTTCTAGGGGAAGATGCCCAGTTTGAGATGGACATATAAAGAAAGCCTTCTGTCAGCAAAGTAATCCTTATATTCACCTAGCCATTATTGACTTGAACAAAAAGCTTTGTATTAGCTGAATTAATACTCTTATTCTTAGTTTTATGTTTGATATTTCAAATATATTTTGAAAACAAGTGTGTGTGTGTTTTTGCATTGCCTTAATATTTGCTAAAATGTACTCACAGAATTAAGAAATACAAACAAATGTATTTCTGCTTTGATTTTGTGTGACTTGATATGATATGTAACATATACAAAACTGACTCTGAGTTGTATTAAAATAGCATTTTATTTGAATTTAATTCAAAAGTTTTATTTTAAGTGACGTTTAACTCCACACCAGCAGTAACTAACTTTGGCCACACGAGGGCAGCAATGAAACTGACCAGTGACACCCCTGTTTCAGGTTTTAAGTTATTTTGTCTAAAGTTGACATTAAAATTTAAGCATTTGTAAAGCAGCATGAATAATCGTCTAATTTCTTGTTTTCAGATATTTGATGAGTTTTGGTGTAATTTTATTATTGATTTAAATATCCAGCCTTGGAGAAAACATCCCAAAATCTGTGATTCTATGTATTATACATTAAAAAACCAAGACAATGCGTGGTTTTGCACCAGTTTGAATAAAAACTTATCTCAAATGAAAGCGTTTTACAGCTTTGAACTCTTTGTGGGTCAAAGGTCATCAAGTGACTCTTCAGCATGTTCCTTTCATGTTGAAGAGCAAAAATCAGGCCTCCGCTGAAGTGGTTACATAGGACTGTTTGTCACAGGCTAAATGTTAAAGCAGTAGCTCAGACCTTTTGTGTAGATTTCTGTAGAAAGGTTAAGAACCACTGACGCCTGTTGGATAGTTCTTTGACCAACATCAGTTAAGAGAAATATAGATTAATACCGACTAAACAGATTAGCCAAAGTCTGACACAATTTTAATTAAAATATGTCTTAAACCTAGCCTAGAAATCTAGACTGGTCTAGCCACGCTACATTGTAGCCTTAACAGGCCCAAACAGTCTTGTGTCTGGCCAATCACAGCGCTCTTATCAGTTTAATAGGGAGTCTAAGTCACTTCCGCATCATGGGTCCCCAGAAGAACGAACAAATGAATGCAGGTCAATGGGGCTAAAAACGTTATTTTCTAATCGCTTTGCCTTACGCCCTGGGTTGCACGTATGTTGTACTGCAATTTAAATGAAAAGATGGGTGTTTCAACCAGGGGCGGATTAAGGACTGAAGAACATCCGGGGCTTAGCACACGCACGCGCACACACACGTGATACGCACTAGTCAACATTTTATATGTCTTGTACCACATAATTTTTAATCTGAAGCTACATATTAAGCATTTTCAAGGCAGAATATTGTTCCTGTTAGTGTTTAGTGTGAGATGATAGTAAATATTCCCTTTCTTTATCCAACCACTTTACCTGATAAGCTAACTTTACGCAAACCAGCAGCACAACAAATATTTTCAAATAAGACTCACAAACCTGAGTCAACACCAGTATCATCAAAGCTGGGGTTCTGTCGCCGTACTTTTGGTCTAAAAAAACGTCCTTATGTCCATCTTCACTCATGCGTTTCAGGCAGAGAGTGTAGAAGAAGCCGGCTGCTGAAGGGCTTCTTCTTCAGTGGTGGAGGTTCAGGCAGGCTGTATACAAACTACTGCCAGCTGCTCCCTCTCTGTTGGACTTTGGTACTGCATGTTGCTTCCGCGATTTAGATCCGGGGCTTTCCATGAAATATCCGGGGCTTCAGCCCAAGTAGCCAGGCCTAACGCCACCCCTGGTTTCAACCATGACAGTCGCGTACTTTGAGATTTATTAGCTTGTAAAAGTTAGTAATTAGCATGACTACAAACTAGAAATCAACACGTCTTATATGTGACGTCACAACATTTTCTCTCCCCAAAGTAGCTGCTACTTACCACATGACCAGATTTATGGTGGTTCTTTCCTCCTGTGGGAAGTTCTTTGAACTTACAGCCCTTTTCCCTCAGTTTTCTCCGTGTCTGGTTTGATGACGTCACTATCGCGAAGCACATTTGTAATCCTGGACTTAATTTCACACAAAACCTAAAATATCATTCCCCCCGTTCGGAAATAAGCACGTTCTTGGTATCAAAATGTGTCTTTAAAATTCACGGACATCATATGTGAAATCCATGGCACAAAACAAGCGGAATTACAAAATAGCTTTTTAGCCCCGTTGACTTGCAATCATTTTATCGCTCTTCCGGGGTCCCGTGATGCAGAAGTGACTCGCTATGGGCGGGATGGTGCCACGAAGCGAAACAGCAAAGATTGCCGTGGCTCGTTTGGAACAGCTTTGACATCAACTTTGGACTATTTAGACGTGGAATTTTCTTTGAGTCAAGAGTAGATAGAGATACTTACGTCCTTTATTTTTAAAAAGGATGTATTTGTGTCTTCTTCGACATCCATAGCGGTGAGGATGTCACGTTTTCCGTTGTCTAATAACATCAGAGACGGTTTTAAAGACAATCTTAGATTCTGCCCCACGACCGAGCTCTCTGGCTCGTGTTCTGACTACATATTCACCTCGCCAGGCTAACTTCAACCTGTTACTTACAACCATAAAAATTTACATTTTTATTAAATTCCACATAAATAACCAAGAAAAGGGACATTTGGTAAAGTTTCTAAAAGTACATTTTCACTAACAAATGAAATCAGAGTTGTTTTAAGGCTAATCCTTTTTAAAATCATTTATTTAAAACAAATAGCCAAAATCTATCATAGCAAACATAAATGCAAACATTCCAAAGCATTCCCACCATTTTAGTCTTGTTCCTTCAAAAACATTGACTTATAAGTCTTTGTGCATCTAAACAAACAGTTCATACATAAAAGGACTTGTGCAAGTGACTGTTGTGTAAATAGTGCTTTAGTTAGTGTCCGTGGTGCTTTTTTTTTAAATGCACAACTCAAGTTAAGTTAAGCCCTAACAAGTGAAATAAGTCAGAAATACATGTTGTGCATCCCAACAGCGTGATCCCACGCTGCACAGCATCAGGGGAAACATGCAAACATCACATTTTAGTGAACAGTGGTACAAAAAATCACAATCTTTGCTCTGGAAGGTCTGGGTACGTCTGATTGTCAGACATAAACATTTTCGTGCATTTTGTACTTCCGTGCATTTTTGACACATGGTGCTGTCATGTGTTTTCGTTTGAAACTGTCCTCATTGGCAGCCACACTCTTTCACCACCATGTCCTCGTGATGCCTCATCACTAGCTTCCTCTTATCGTAGTACAGCATGGAAAGCGGTGCCAGGTATGTGGGTGCACAGGAGAGACGTGGAACCTTGTCTGGGTGGAGATAGTTCAGTGCACTCTGAAAAAGAGAAAGGTGAAAAAAACAATCCATCAGATTGGAGCACATCTCTTAAAGTGCACATGGGTGCATGTGAAACATTCCGGACTTACCTGAACCTGTGCGTGGTTGAAGGTGGCTAAAGTCCCATCCACCGACATGGAGCAGCTCCCCTCACAGCGGTAAGCGTTGTACCTTCTGGGCTGGACAATCCAGTCACTCCACTGGAGCTTCTTGAAGTCCACCCACATGTCCACCTTCTTGCAGAGAGGACGTTGTTTCTCCTGTTCTGAGAATCTAACATGTTTCTGTGTCTCCTGGTGTCTCTTCCTTCTACTGCTTCTCCTGTTGATGGACTTTGACTGCTCTGCTGTTCTGACCAATGAAGGCTGGTTCTTTGGATCCTGGCTTGAAAAGACCACCATCATTACTCTATTTACAGTAGGATGCTGGATTATCTCCTGCTGCTCCTTCTTCATCCCAACTTCTACTGTTCTGTTTGTGGAGGATTCCTGCTGCAGCCAGCGATGAAGCATCCCCGTCACGTTGAAAACTTTCCAGGAGGAGGACGAAACCATTGTAGTGGGGTGAGCTTCCAGGTGTCCCAGAAGCAGCCGGTTCACAGAGCAGTCATTGCTGGAGCAGCGGTTCTGGTTGGAGTGACAGATGTCCAAAAATACTCTGGAAGACTTAGAGAAGGCAGGAAGACGGATATGAAGTTCAGCCAGTTGGATGTTGTCCCTTTTAGACATGGAGGACAAGTCAAAGGTGACCGACCACCTCTCACCAACCTGCAGGCAGCCTGAAAGAAGATAAAGAATAAAAAAATTCTTAATAAAAAAAATCTGCATAATGAAGCTATTTCTTTGAAAAGCAATGAGATATTTAAGTTCAGTGTTGGTTCACTTCTGTGGGTTTTCATTTTCTATTTATTTTAAGCCAAATACTCACTTTTTGCAACAAGGCTGGTCACACAGTCCGAGTCCTGGGTCCTGCTGTGGTGGCCCCTGATGTTGGCACTAGCATGATCCTCGATTCGCATGGTCTGGTAGAGCTGCATCATAAAAAGGGGCAAGCTGCGGGTCTGCTGCCGCTGCATGAAGCTTCTGAAGCCGCCGGAGCGACTCATCCACCCATGAAGCAGCAGAGCGTCAGGGCGCGTTCCTTGGAAGGGTTGCGTCTGGACACCCAGAATCAAATCCACCAGAAGTAAACCCACTAACTCCGCAGTTTTCATTATTCCAGAGAGTTGTTGCTTCGAGGTCAAATCCAAATTATTTCAGTAAGAAACGCTGCCTGGTAAAGACACGCCCCTCCTTTGAAGGTTGGAGGTGTGTGTGTGTGTGTGTGTGTGTGTGTGCGTGTGTGTGTGTGTGTGTGTGTGTGTGTGTGTGTGTGTGTGTGTGTGTGTGTGTGTGTGTGTGTGTGTGTGTGAGCCAGGGTCGCGCGCACTCAGTGCAAAAGGTCGTTTTGGATCGAAACCAAGCGAGAAAACTTTGCGATCTGATATTGTTCTGTGTGTAACAGATACTTTTGATAACAGAGAGATCAAGGAGCTGCTTCACTGTGCAGTGATTAATCAGCCTAACAGGTCTAATTCGAGTAGATCAGAGAGGAGAAAATCAGGTGCTTCAATTTAAGATAACGGGTTTTTTAAAGTAACAATTAACAATAATTAGGGAGTGAAGCTTTAGTTTTCAGACAACTTGAAGTTGAAATCGTGAGAAAAATCTAAAAATTCAGTAAAACAGTCTTTATTCAAATGTGTCAAATAACTTTTTAGCTCAATACATTTTCATCATGTTACAAAAAACACAAAATAATAAAATAAACATTTGCAATGCATTGTATTGAATTAGCTAACATGTTTTAAGGATTTATAGCATTACTTTCTTGCAATTAATTATGTTAAACCGTAAGTCTTATTCATTTATTTTTGCTTGTTTGTTTGTTTGTTTGTTTGTTTGTAGGATAATGGTCACCTGACGGAAAAAAGCTTGGATCTTAAAGGCCCATCAACAGCCACCCATTAACGAGACAACTGCACTTGACTTCAAAGTTGATGAGGGACTTTTATTCCTTTCACTGGAACATGAAAGGATGAATTTACATTGTAATGAATGATTTTGGTTGATTGATAATTTGTGTATGTGTGACAAGTCCCTTTAAAGAAAAAAATAAATCAAGTAATATTTCCATATATGTCTAATTTCATGGGTACAGAAAGATAATCAGAGAGTATTATTAGGCCTATTCTTCTATTTTAAAAGATGACAAACATATGCCTATACTGTTTTACTTTATCCACAAATAGAAGAGTTCAGTCTAATATTTGTTTAACAGCAAACATTACCGAACTTCAACGTATTCAAAAAGCCTTATGTGCGTAAAACTCACCAAAAAAAGCGCAAATGAGAAAGGAAAAATGTTTATTATACATACTAGCATGACAAAGCCAGGAGATGATGGTCCTATGATAACACAAGTGCGCAGGAATTGAAAAGATTATCGCTCATTAATATATATATATATATATATATATATATATATATATATATATATATATATATATATATATATATATATATATATATATATTTACTTCAAGTGAGCGAAGTCATCATGTCCAACTTTTATCTTGAGTTCAACATCCAAAACGTGTTTTTAGTGTCAAAATAAAGGATTCGGTTTATAATTTTGTTTAATTTATGGAGCGGAAGCTGGCGGAAGCTGCCGTTTAAAATGACAGGTGCGCGTGCAGCTGAAGCTGATTTAAGAGCTTGCTGACACCTGGTGATGTTAGTTCGGGTGAGTCGCGCGCGGGCAGATATGCACCTGCGCACGTTCATTTGTCTGCTTTTTCTGGCAACTCGAAGATTTTCTTCTGGTGAGTTGAGCCGTTTCTAATACTTTCAGTAAACTAATGGAAAGGCTGGGAAGACCTGGGTGAGTTTGGAGGTTCCTCTTTCTACCCGGAGACGAGCTCCTCAGCTAGCGTTGTGCAGCTGAGGAGGTCCTGAATGACTGAAAGGTTATTATAGGAGTGCCACTACATGCATTTGGATGTGACCACTGCTCATTCAGTACACAAATGAAACATTTAAATTAAACAATCCATTCACTTTAATCCACATATGTTAATTAACTCTAAAATATAGCAGGAACAAATTAAAAAAACTATTAGCCCATTTTGGTGTGATTCAGATCCTGATTTTGAAAAGAGACTGGTGTGTTTAGTCTGAAGTATTGATTGACTCACACAACATTGTCTTATTTTGATGTTGGAAGGCCAAATCATAGGATGCCCTAGAGGCCAGTGGCAGTGTGATGATGGACATTGCATCACTGATGCATGGAGATGTGATGGGCAGGGAGACTGTCTGGATGGATCTGATGAAATGGACTGTGAAGGTACGTTCTCTGCCCCAGACTGCACTGAGTTGTGCTGTCATTGTTAAATTTGTCAATTCTGAAACATTTCATCGTGTTGCTTTCAGCCTCCGGAGGCTTTGGTTGCCCTCCAGGTCAATTTGCTTGTGAGGACTCTGTTGGCTGTGTGGATGTGTCTGCACGCTGCGATGGAAGGAGCCAGTGTCCCACTGGGTCTGATGAGGAGAACTGTCTGGCCACAGAGGGCTGCCTGGATTCAGAATGGATGTGTCGAAACCACGTTTGTATCCCCACAGAGCTGCGCTGCAACAGAAAAAACGACTGTTTGGACAACTCTGATGAACAGGACTGTGGTGAGGAAGACGGCGGGTTTGAATCTGATTTCTAATGAATTGTAAAACTTGTTGCATTGAGATGAACTTTGAATTGAAGTGGATTAAAAGGGAGTCCAGACTCCGTGCAGAACATATTCTGTTTCTTTGGACATGGAGATGATGCAAAATCAGATCTTATAAATTCAAAGATGGAAAAAGTATTTGGACCTAAATCTTGAATAAAGCCTAAAACAAAATGTTCCTTTTTACATTAGTGAACCCAGCAGTCTTCAAGAATATAACATTTTGTGGAATGAACAAATTCAAATCTGTTAAGTTGAACTGTTGAGGCTTCTTTCTTTAAAAAAAAAAAGATCCTATGAAGCATTGGTCACTCAAAATGGTGAGAGCTACTCTGGCTTGCTCAATAAAGACTATCATTGCAGGTACGTGCAGTGCAGAGGGTGTACGTTGTCCTGATGGGACGTGTCTATCACCTGAAGAGCGATGTGATGGACAGATTCATTGTTCTGATGGTAGTGATGAACCCATAACGTGTGGTAAGCCCCACCAGAACTCTTCTAAATGGTTCAGTAATGCTATCAGTGTGCAACCATTGATGTGGTTTTTGGTGCCTTCTGCAGGCCGGATCTGCTCCATGAACAATGGCGGTTGCAGCCATGTGTGCACTGATGAAGTATGGGGCGCTCGGTGTTCCTGTCCAGTTGGACTTAAACTCTCTCCTAATGGTGCTGTGTGTGAAGGTGAGCAGGCTGTGAAAACTATTGGAAACTACTACTTCTAATACAAACATGTAGCACCATAAAACTAAAGAGCTTCATGTTTCGCAGGAGCAGTCTTTCCCAGATAATCGAATACTAACAGATTGTTTTACTTGTAAAGTGAAATGCCTGTGAATCGCTACATCTTTTGTTCTCAGATTTGGATGAGTGTGCTTCACCTTTTCCACCATGTGTGCATCACTGTGCAAACACTGTTGGGTCTTTCTATTGCCACTGCAGAGTGGGTTTTAAACTGGTGGGAAGCTCCAAGTGTCGCGCCTCAGGTACGACTTCACCAAGACTTCATTAAAACTAAGTTTCCAGGATAAATTAAAATCTACTCGACCTTTATCGTTTTCTTTTCTCTCCACTTCCTAAAAACAAATTTTTAGACATTAATTACAAAGTTTGACTTAAAACTTCCTCTAAATAATTCACATCTTTTTCTTTTTGTCAGGAAATGCTACCCGTTTGCTGACGGTGCAGAAAAATGCAGTCGGACTGCTGAATGTAAAATCTCAGCATTTTAAAATCATCAAGGCCTCGGTGTTTGACCCAGTGGCCTTAGCTTATGACATCACTAGAGGATACTACTACTGGGCAGACAGGGGTGGGAATATTTTTAAAAGTAACGGGCAGCAAAGCTGGACAACCTTTTCAGGTCCGTTGAAGGTACGAAAGATTGTCTAAATAAAAAAAGTTTAAAATTTGGTAAAAGGTTTCTTTGATTATTTAAAACAGGAGAGCCTGGAATCAAAGGTCTAGCCTGTGATTGGCTAAATGGATACCTGTTCTGGACCAATCAGAAGACTCGGTCAATCTACATGCAGTCAGCTGATGGAGCGAGTTACACAACACTGCTGAATAAAAACATCAGCCCTTCAGATCTGGTGGTGTTACCTGTTGAGAGGTTCGTTTGTTCCACCTGAAGATGAATTGATAATTGTTGGTTTGCTAAAGTTTGAAAACGGCTGCATGAGTGCCCCGTGATTCAGTTTTCTGTCTGCCTCCCAGCTCCATGTTCTGGATCAACGTTGGTCCAGGGGACAGAGTGACATTAGAGAAGTCATGGATGGACGGATCGGACAGAGGAACGCTGGCTGTCCTCACTGCACAGGTTGCCCACAGCCTGACGGCTGACGTCGCTGCCAGGAGGCTTTACTGGATCAGTGGCTTCAAGAGGGTGGGCTTCCTGCATAAGGAGCAAGTTGGAGAGCACCCTGTTGATCTATCATTTCAAATAACTTTTCTTCAGTCCATAGAGACGGTGAAGGTGGATGGGACCGGCCGTTTCTCCTTCACAGGGATGTTCAACAGGAGGCCCGCACGGAGCCTAGCTGTGTTTGAAAGTGTGTTCTACTGGGTGGACGACAAAGGACTTTGGCAAGTTCCACAAAGCCAGCTAAGTCAGAGGAAGTTCATCTGGAGAACCGAGCTGCCTCAGTTGGTTGTCTACCATGAGCTCCAGCAACCTAAAGGTATGAATATTGAAGGGTGTATTACGAGATGCTGCTACACTGAGACCATGTGTGTTAACTAGATGGTGTTTTTCTCTCTTAATTTATTTGGTTTGTTTGATCAGGGTCGTCTGTCTGTGCCGAGATGTCGTGCGACCTCTGCCAGTTGACCAAAAGCAACTCAGTAGGCTTCACCTGTGCCTGTCCGTACTTCAAAGTGCTGTTGCCTGACGGGATGTGTGAATGTGAGATCTCCACTTCAAAGTTTAAATATCTATAAAGTCTTTATTTTTATTCTGTATAAAATGTAGATTTCAATATTTAACTGATTTAGAACTTGCTTGTGAAGCAAAACCTAGTTTATTTTATTGAGCTGTGCACTTAAAGGGTTATTCAGCAGGCTTTATTGTCCACCACTGAATAATGCAGTAATGTTTCAACCAGTTCTTTATGTGCGAGTTGGTTTTTCTGTCGTTTCAGCAAAAATATTCTATGAAGCATTTGATTTCTAGACTCAAAAAGTTCTAGGATGCATCTGCAACTGAACAACTTTTGAAGTTGAACTGGTTCAAGATGGCCGCCACATCTAGTAACTATAGCAACTTCAATACTGTCTTAATTCAGGAGGAGCATGAGGACCCAGCCTACCCATTACACATAGGTCGAGGTCGTTATTTATTTATTTTTTACAAACAATACATTTAAAACTAAATCACCTCAAGCTTTTAATTAAAACTGCCAGATATGTGTGTACTGACATATGAAACTACCCCTGTTTGCCATAATTGCAACAATCTCCACTGTGCATGAGTCCTAAAGATTTGACCAATGACCGACTACATGTGATTTGAACAAGTAAAGTTCTGAGTGACTGCGGCGTTAATTTTATTCCCCAGTTCCACGATTTTTATACACTACAATCACAACCATCAACTTGCTGGAGTTTAGAGGCAGCGAGTCGCGTGAAACGCAGCTGTTTACCACCGACGAAGGAATCCTGTCTTTTGATGTGGACTGGTACAGAGACTGGCTCTACTGGGCCAATCAAACGGGCCACATCCAACGCTCCAGTCTGACGCAGGACAAGGTGGAGCTCATCCCAGCGCCACTTCCAGGTTACTGCTAACCTCTTGGAAAGGTCTTTCATCACAGTTTGAGTTTCTGCAGTTCACCAATTAGTTTTGTTTCAGTTTGTCTGATAAATGTGGACCAGAGGAATGGAAACCTCTTTTGGGTGTCGTGTGACCAGAACTCCATTGGCACCATCACAGCTGGCAGTAACTACCCACAGCAGCTTTACCGCACCACAAAGGAGATCCGCAGCCTCTATCTGGACTGGCTTCGTGGTGGGATGTTCTGGCTGGAAGATAAGCGGATCTTTAGCATGGACTTGGCAGAAGGAAAAGCTAAGGAGCTGCTGGAAATGACAGGAGGTGTTGGTAACCTAGCTTTTGACCTCAGGGCCAGCAGTCTTCTCTGGAACTCCAAAAGAGCAGGTTGGTTGGTTGTAAACTGAAAATGCCTGAAAGTTTTATCACATTTTAAACTTGTACAGCTTTTGGAAATGCTTAGAAGTGTTTTGATTGTAGATGAAACTACTGCAAAAGTTGCTGTAAAGTTTAGTGTGTGTGTGTGTGTGTGTTGCTAATTTTAACAATATGATTAACCTTTTTGATTTTTCAGTAACTTCTTTGAATTTCCTAAAATTGCATCTGACTTTTAAAGCTTTAACTGGTAATCAATCTTGATGTGGGTTTGCTGTGTATTCCTTAGGCCTGACAACTCTGAGTTTGCTGAAGGAGAGAAGCCATCAAGCAGGAAGAAGGTGGAACATTTCAGGCTCTGTCGTAGCTGCTTTTGAGCCCTTCCTTTTGTCATATTCTAATGAGGTCATCACGCTCTGGGATCTGCGTGATGGGACCAAAATTGCATCTGTGACTGTGAGGGGTTACGTGTTGAATGTGATCGTTGCGCTTGGAGACATTCAGATAGGTCAGTTTCTGTAGTGTTGCTAATTTTAACAACTATTTTCTGCATTAGAGAAAAACTATTCCATTATCTGAGAGTGGATCATTTTGGTGGTAAGACTTAATCTGAAAAATTCTATCATTGCATCTGTTCATAGAGCCTGAAACTCCAGAGTGCAACGCTCCATCTTTATTGTGCCGGCGTTCCTCAATCTGCATCCTACAAACCCAGTTCTGTGATGGGAAGAGGGACTGCCCAGATGGAGATGATGAGGACTTTTGTGTTGTCACATGTTCATCTAAAGGTAGTTTTCTTCGACTCTGCTTTAAAAGCATTAAATGAGTATGACTGGGTGTTCATGCCTGTCAATTTTCAGATGAGTTTAAGTGCAAAGACAGCAGAAGCTGCATCCCCATAAGACTGGTTTGTGACGGCCGTTCTCACTGCCACGATGGCTCCGATGAGGCCAGCTGTCCAACGGAAGCGGCTCCGTTAACTCGCTCAAACCACCTGAAATGTCGCAGCGGCTCTAAGCTATGTGCAGATGGCACGGAGTGTGTGCTGTACAGCCATGTGTGTGACGGAGAGATGGACTGTCAGGATGGATCTGATGAAGTGGGATGTGGTACGTTGTCTAATCATAGCTCTGATGTAATCACCTCTGACTTAATGTTTACATTAAACTGTTATTGTTGTTTAAAGATGAACCTAAGGAGAACGTGGATAAGTCGGGTGGCACATCACCTACTACTCCACCTCCTGCTGCAACTCTACCAGCCTGCCTCAGCCCGTCTGTCCTCTGCCCTTCTGCACACATTTGCATTTCTCCAGACAAGTTCTGCAATGGGATTAAAGACTGTCCTGATGGATTTGATGAAAAGAACTGCATCAAAAGTTGTCCCTTAAAAAGTAACTTGGAACATTTGATAAAAAAACTAATAATTAGAAAGTACAACATGGAACCAAGACCTAACACACATTTAATTACAGCTGAATCTGAATTGTTTGAATGTTCTCCTTTTTAGATGATTTTCTCTGCAAAGACCGTCTAAGTTGTCTTTCCAAGAGTTTAGTCTGTGACGGTCGCTCTCACTGCAGCGATGGTTCAGATGAAGTGAACTGTCCAAACTTGGTCCCAAACGCTCCTCGGAGGAACACAAAGTGTCCCTTTGGCTCTAAACTGTGTCGAGACGGCATCGGCTGTGTCCTCCTGGGTCACCTTTGTGATGGACAGAGAGACTGTCCTGATGGATCTGATGAAGAATGTGGACAGAATCTATCAAAAGGTGAGTTTTGATGGATAAGACCGTTTATTATTTAACCCTCCCACAGTCCTAATGGGTGACCCTGCGAGGAAAGTTGACCATCGAGCAGGATTGATGTATCCCTTGAGGTCCAGGTGGCAGGGGTGAGGAGTGAGCACCACCTGCCACCTGGACCTCAAGGGATACATCAATCCTGCTCGATGGTCAACTTTCCTCGCTGGGTCACCCATTAGGACTGTGGGAGGGTTCAGTCAAATCTAAAGTCATAACAAAATCCTGATTTCAGTTTCAAAGGTTTTAGTTTTTTTTTTTTTTGTTGTCATTAAGTGAAGTTACGTTATGGATTAATTTGACTACTTGAACCACGTTTGACCATTTCTTCTTGAACTCATTCCTAAAAGCTGAAGAGATCCTGACAACCATTCCTCCCACCACTCCACCGTGCACCAGCCCTTCAGTCCTGTGTCCAGGTTCTTCTGTTTGCATCAAGCAGACACAGATGTGCGACAGAAAGAGGGACTGTCCTGATGGCTTTGATGAGAAATGTATCAAAAGATGTCCCTCTGCAAGTGAGTATTTCAGGAAATACAATTTTAAAGTTTCTGACAATTATGCTCCTGTTGATGATCAGAGTTCCTTTTCTATTAACATTTTTTCTTCATCTTCCTGTAGCTGATTTTCGCTGTAAAGACCGCCGGAGCTGCGTTCCAAGGAGTCAGGTGTGTGACGGCCGCTCTCACTGCCACGACGGATCAGACGAGTTCAACTGCCAGAGCCCCGCTGCTCCTGAAACTCCAACCAAAATCCTGAAGTGTCGATTTGGTTCCAAATCGTGTCGAGACGGGACAGGATGTGTCCTCCTGAGTCACGTTTGTGACGGAGAGAGAGACTGTCCTGATGGATCTGATGAAGAAGGATGTGGTGAGTATTCCAAGATGGTAGATGCTTCTTGTTTTTGGCCAGAAATAATTACAGCTTTACCTTTGTAGATGATGCAGCCGTTGAGCCAGCTATTTCTGGAGAAAATCAGAGCTCGACTAAAGCTCCTGCACTGACTGAAAAGTTACCCGAGCCTCCCACCACTCCACCGTGCACCAGCCCTTCAGTCCTATGTCCAAGTTCTTCTGTTTGCATCAAGCAGACACAGATGTGCGACGGAAAGAGGGACTGTCCTGATGGCTTTGACGAGAAATGTATCAAAAGATGTCCCTCTGCAAGTAAGGAGCTGATGCGGCAACGACCATCTTCAATTCAATTTAGTAAAATTATACTCTTAAAAAATATATATAAATAAATTATTAAAAACCTCAATTTCTTTAAACTTTAAAATTTGAATTTTGTGATCAGTTTTTTGCCCCTCGATCATTCTTTTGATTTTGAGTGTCTAATAATAATGCATTTCATTTGAGGCACCTTTCTAGAAACTCAAGGTCACCATACATTAAAAACAAGAGTTAAAAACATAGAACAGATGCAAGAAAACGGAGTATAAAATGGGTGAACAAGGTACTCATGCAAGCTGGCCATTAAGTTTATGAATTTTCTTTGTGTCAAACATCAGTTGCGGAAGTAGATAAGAAACATGTTAATAGTAATGAATATATTAAAGTGGCCTGAGTACATTAAAACAGTGTGGCTGTATTGAACGATGCACCTTCTCACGATGGTGCACGCATTGCATGGCAGGTGAACTAATGCTGTACTGTAATTTAAAATCTAACGTAAATTTCTCTCTTCCTGCAGCTGAATTTCGTTGTAAAGACCGCCGGAGCTGCGTCCAAAGGAGTCAGGTGTGTGACGGCCGCTCTCACTGCCACGACGGATCAGACGAGTTCAACTGTCAGAGCCCTGCTGCTCCTGAAACTCCAACCAAAATCCTGAAGTGTAGATTTGGCTCCAAATCGTGTCGAGACGGGGCAGGATGTGTCCTCCTGAGTCACGTGTGTGATGGAGAGAGAGACTGTCCTGATGGATCTGATGAAGAAGGATGTGGTAAGTATTCCAAGATGGTAGATGCTGCTTGTTTTTGTCCAGAAATAATTACAGCTTTACCTTTGTAGATGATGCAGACAATGAGCCAGCTATTTCTGGAGAAAATCAGAGCTTGACTAAAGCTCCTGCACTGACTGAAAAGTTACCCGAGCCGCCCACCACTCCACCGTGCACCAGCCCTTCAGTCCTGTGTCCAGGTTCTTCTGTTTGCATCAAGCAGACACAGATGTGCGACGGAAAGAGGGACTGTCCTGATGGCTTTGATGAGAAATGCATCAAAAGATGTCCCTCTGCAAGTAAGAAGCTGATGCAGCCACCACAGTTACATTTATTAGAAAAATTATATCTATAAAGAAATACTTTAAAATTGAGTTGTGATCACATCTTTTTCCCCTGAAACATGTGACTTTGAGTGGGACACCATTATCTGAGGTTACTCATACTTCAGCGATGCATTAAAACAAGGAAAACGGAACTGATGTGAGCTGTCCATTAAGTTTACCATGTATTTAATTTCCTTCATTTTCAGGAAGTACACTGATAAAAAGCATGTTAATATTAATGTAAATATTCAATAGAGGCTTCAAACCATTAAAGTGATGCACGTTTCCATGATGGTGCACTTGCATCATGGATGGCATGCTCACTTTTTTTTGCACAACACCTGTGCGTCAGCCTCAAAGGCAGCCAATTCCGCAGCTCCAGGAGACCGCATAACCCAAAGTTTGCTACCACAGAAGGTCCTTCAGTGGGATAAATACTGCATTGTTGGATTATCTTTTAGATGACTGTGTAAATTGTCTCAGCCGGCTCGATGTTTACGGTCTGATTTGCTGCAATGAACAGGGAAGTTTAATTTTAAGACTAGAACTAAATGGAGATGGTGTTGTGTATGGTTTGTGGTATTAAATGCTACTTTTCATGCCACTACATGAAATACCTGAAACGAACACATGGAAGTGGCTGTTTCCCTCCCTATTCTGTCCAGTTTAACGTGGGTTCAAACTGTTTATAGTTGTGCTCTCCTGAGGTCACACGTTGGCTCTGTATTAGCCTGTTAGGCAACAGCCACCTGTTGAGGCGTCTGAATTCCTTGCTTGCTGTAAATTGTGGCATTACTGTTTGAATGAAAACAATGTAGTGGAAGTTGAGATTAAAACTAAACTATTAAGATTGAAAATCCCTCAGAGGGTGCAAAAAGGTCATGTCTGTTAAATCTGACCTTTTTCCACCCAGTTCTGATGGTTTAAAAAAAATCATGGTCTGCCTGAATCCCGATAAGATTTGAACTGGAAGATTAACTTTGACAGTACCATCATATTGCATAACTAATGCGTTGCACTCTGACGCAGAGGCCGGCGATATATCACACTGATGTATTAAACTTCTTTTTTGTCCAAATCTGCCTAAATGATTTTTAAAAGCAAATTTAAAATAATATATACAAATCAGGCACCTGTGTGGCCTACTGATTTTAGCCTTTTTTATTATTTTTTTTAGCCGATTTTCGTTGTAAAGACCGCCGGAGCTGCGTCCAAAAGAGTCATGTGTGTGACGGCCGGTCTCACTGCCACGACGGATCAGACGAGTTAAACTGCCGGAGCCCCGCTGCTCCTGAAACTCCAACCAAAATCCTGAAGTGTCGATTTGGCTCCAAATCGTGTCGAGACGGGACAGGATGTGTCCTCCTGAGTCACGTGTGTGATGGAGAGAGAGACTGTCCTGATGGATCTGATGAAGAAGAATGTGGTAGCTGTCATATAAGTTTTCATATTTGTCTCTGATAATTTGACTACTTTTGAGCCATGCTGACCCATGTGTTTCTAGATGATGCAGTGGGGAGTTCAGAGAACACTGTGGAAACTAAGGACATAAATGAGTCTCCTACACTGACTGAGAGGTTACCTGAACCTCCCACCACTCTACCGTGCACCAGCCCTTCAGTCCTGTGTCCAGGTTCTTCTGTTTGCATCAAGCAGACACAGATGTGCGATGGAAAGAGGGACTGTCCTGATGGCTTTGATGAGAAATGTATCAAAAGATGTCCCTCTGCAAGTGAGTATTTCAGGAAATACAATTTTAAAGTTTCTGACAATTATGCTCCTGTAGATGATCAGAGGTCCTTTTCTATTAACATGTTTTTTCATCTGCCTGTAGCTGATTTTCGCTGTAAAGACCGCCGGAGCTGCGTCCAAAAGAGTCAGGTGTGTGACGGCCGCTCTCACTGCCACGACGGATCAGACGAGTTCAACTGTCAGAGCCCCGCTGCTCCTGAAACTCCAACCAAAATCCTGAAGTGTCGATTTGGCTCCAAATCGTGTCGAGACGGGACAGGATGTGTCCTCCTGAGTCACGTTTGTGATGGAGAGAGAGACTGTCCTGATGGATCTGATGAAGAAGAATGTGGTATTTATCAAAAGATGTTTGTACCCTTTTTGCAACACATTAAGTAGTCTTGTGTTTAACTTTCCATGCGGTCTGTGCTTTTTGTGTTGCAGCAGAGGGTGTTTCCACAAGTTCTGTAGACAAAGGCTACTTAAATGAGTCTCTCGCGTCCTTGAAGCTGTTCACTGAACCTCCCACCACTCCACCGTGCACCAGCCCTTCTGTCCTGTGTCCAGGTACTTCTATTTGCATCAAGCAGACACAGATGTGTGACAAAAGGAGAGACTGTCCTGATGGCTTTGATGAAAAGTGTGTGAAGAGATGTCCCTCTGCGGGTAAGTCTGAACGTCCGTTTTAGACTATATTGCACCAGTAGATGAATGGAGGTTCTGATTTAGTCAGCCCCCCCCCCTCCTTCCTGTAGCTCATTTTCGCTGTAAAGACCGTCGGAGCTGCGTTCCGAGGAGTCAGGTGTGTGACGGCCGCTCTCACTGCCACGACGGATCAGACGAGTTAAACTGCCGGAGCCCCGCTGCTCCTGAAACTCCAACCAAAATCCTGAAGTGTAGATTTGGCTCCAAATCGTGTCGAGACGGGACAGGATGTGTCCTCCTGAGTCACGTTTGTGATGGAGAGAGAGACTGTCCTGATGGATCTGATGAAGAAGAATGTGGTAGCTGTCATAGAAGTTTTCATATTTGTCCCTGATAATTTGACTGCTTTCTAGCCATGCTGACCCATGTGTTTCTAGATGATGCAGTGAGGAGTTCAGACAACACTGTGGAAACCAAGGACATAAATGAGTCTCCTACACTGACTGAGAGGTTACCTGAACCTCCCACCACTCCACCGTGCACCAGCCCTTCAGTCCTGTGCCCAGGTTCTTCTGTTTGCATCAAGCAGACACAGATGTGCGACAGAAAACGAGACTGTCCTGATGGCTTTGATGAGAAGTGTGTGAGGAGATGTCCCTCTGCAAGTAAGTGCTAAAGTTGATTTGCTCCAACATAACTAACCTCTTACAAACCTTAAAGGATCTAAAGTTTCCATGCACAAGTGCTGGTCATAAAATTGGAACATAATACAAAGTTGATTTCTTTAATAAGTGAATAATGTGCATTAGATGCATTCATTAAACACTGATATTTCAAATGCTTCTTTCTTTTAATGTTCATAACAAACAACTTGTCAAAGTCCCAAATTTAGCAGCTTATCTGCATCTCCATGAAGTTGGTCAGTAGCAGGAAGCATGAAGTGAACCAAAACTTCCTGGTAGATGGCCACGTTGACCTTGGACCTCAGAAAACACAATGGACCAACACCAGCAGATGACATGGCAACCCAACTGCGGAAACTTAAGACTGGACCTCAAGCAACGTGGATTCTGTTCCCCTCAAGACTCTTGGACCTTGATTTCCAAATAAAATGCTAAATTTATTTTCATCAGAACATAACTTGGGACCACTCGGCAGCAGTCCAGTCCTTTCTGTTGTCAGCCCAGACAAGGCGCTTCTGATGCTGTCTCTTGTTCAGGAGTGACTCAACACAAGGAATACGACAGCTGAAACCTGTCCTGCATACGTCTGTCTAGTGGTTCTGGAAGCACTGACTCGAGCTGCAGTCCACTCTTTGTGAATCTCCCCACAATTGTGAATTTGTTTCACACCTTGAGGGGTTGTGGAACCTCAAGAAGGTGCTATACAAATAGACAATTAACCATCCTCTCCAGGGTGCAGTTATCCCTGTTCACTTTTTCTACCACATCTTGTCCTTCCCTTCACCTCTATTAATGCGCTTGGACACCGAGCTCTTAGTAGCCAGCCTCTTTAGCAGTGACTTGTGTCTTGCCCTCCTTGTGCAAGGTGTCAATGGTCGTCTCTTGGACAAATTTGAAGTCCTCCCCATGAGTGTATAGCTCATAGAACTAGACTGGGAGACTTAAGACATTTGCAGGAGTTGATTGGCTGATTAGTGTGGCACCAGGGGTCTTCAATAAAGAACTTTTCACAAAAATCTAATATTCTGAGATGCTCAATTTAGGATTTTTATTGTCAGTTTTATACAAATATACAAGTTTAAACTAGTTTTGATTTTAAATCAGACCTTAACTAAATGCTAACTAGTACTTAAATGGTTGTAAAATGTTAAACTGTATGTCTCAAAATAGGAGTGATTTGTATTTATAGTTTCAGAATCTCATATTTCAGTAAAGCATTTTGCTGCTGTGAAGGGAGCTAATGCTGATTTTACAACCAGTTTGAGTTTATCTTGGACTCATTCACTCATTGACCCTTTCCTTCTCTGTAGCCGATTTTCGCTGTAAAGACCGCCGAAGCTGTGTTCCCAGGAGGCACGTGTGTGACGGTCGCTCTCATTGCCATGATGGGTCAGATGAGGCAGACTGTCCAAACGTAGCTCTCCCTGCAGCCCGGAACAATGTCCTGAAATGTCGAACGGGTGCCAAACCTTGCCGTGACGGGACGGAATGCGTCCTCTTCAGCCATGTCTGTGATGGAGAAAGAGACTGTCAAGATGGCTCCGACGAAGACGACTGCGGTGAGTCTGAACTCTCACACAGCTGTTACACTTTTGTCTATCAACATATTAACAGTTTTGTGGAGTAGTTTCCTGATTTTTGAACTTCTCCCATTATTGGGTCCTTTTCTTTTTTTGTGATGGACAATGAAGTGATGTCATTGTACCTGGTACATTAATAACAATGGAAGTAGCTGATGTCTATACCTTTCTGAGCATAAAATTTTTATATCTATTTGGAGATCAGTCACTGGCAGACAGTAGAAAAATATTGATGTCTAATTCATGTTTAGGAAGTCTTAAACATTATTTTATTAAAGAGGAGCTTAACTTGTGTTCTGTGCTGCAGAGACGACTGAATCGCCCGCCCTCACCAGCTCGCCCTGCAGCTTTCCTTCCGTTCAGTGTCCAAGTTCAACTGTTTGCATCGACCCATCACAGTTGTGTGACGGAGTCAGAAACTGCCCTGATGGATCAGATGAGATATGCGTGAAAAGATGTGCTGACAAAAGTAAGTGAAACTTGTATTTCCTTGTTTGTTCAGATAATAAAATTTCTCCCTCTGCAGCCGACTTTCTCTGCAAGGACCGTAGAAGTTGTGTGTCCAGGACTCTGGTTTGTGACGGCCGTTCTCACTGCTCCGATGCTTCTGATGAGGCAAACTGTGCCAGAGTGACCCCCCCGCCTTCACGGTCTGTCTTAAAATGCCGCATGGGCTCGAAGCCATGTGATGATGGCAAGGAGTGTGTCTTATTTAGCCACGTATGTGATGGCGAGATGGACTGTTTGGATGGATCTGATGAACGCGGATGTCAAGAAACCTGTGAAGGTTGAGTCTAAACTTCTTGCGCACAACAAAAAATGTGGTGGTATGCCATTTTACCTAACAGTAAATTAAATGCACCAATTGGCTGTTTTTAATCTCAGGAGAGTTTCAGTGCGCTCATGGGAAAAAGTGCATCCCTGAGGCTGAGGTGTGCGATGGGAAGTTTCAGTGTCAGGATCAATCTGATGAACAGGACTGTTGGGAAAAAACCAAAAGTTGTGAGCACCGATGTGCTGACGGGAAACGCTGCATCCCCAAGAAATTCCTCTGTGACGGAGAGCAGGACTGCCTGGATGGGTCAGATGAAGTGGGATGTGGTGAGTTCTGTCATGATGCTGCAAGCTGAGAAACTGCAATATAAAAGAAAATGCCTAATTGGTTCCGAACTTAAGCTAATTACGTTTTTTTTTTTTTTTTTTCCTCAGACTTAAGTCCTGCTACAACAGAGTTCCCTCTCCTCACCTCCCCACCTGCGTGCATCACTCCATCAGTTCTGTGCCCAGGTTCATTTAAGTGCATTTCTCAATATCAGCTCTGTGATGGACAAAGAGACTGCCCCGATGGGTTTGATGAGAAGGACTGCGTGGTCCGATGTGAAAACCCAGGTATGCTAGGGCCATATATGATGACGAAGCTATATTTCTTTCTTGCCTGGATGTAAAATCCAATTGTATGTTAATTTGACGTCAACATATCCTTGTAGTTGGGGTACACCTGTCTAGTTTCTCTGAACTGTATTTAATTCCACACATACAGTCCACCACGTTTTGACATCTCTCTCCACCTTTGGTAGTTCTTAAACATCCAATACAAAACCCAATAACGTCTAATTTTGCACAATGTTTAGATTTATTTGTGAAAGTTAAATAGTCTATACATTTTCTTTTCTGTGGTGACTGATTAGTAAATATTTGATCACTTTTATAAATTTTAGGTTAATGTTAAGTATGGAAATGTAGAATTTGGGGAAAAGGTACATCTTAGATTCATAGTATTACTGTAGAATTGGTCAAGGAAGAGTCTCACATTTGCCTTTTGTTCCTACACATCAGATGACTTCCTGTGCAGTGACCAGAGGAAGTGCATCCCACAGACACAAGTGTGTGATGGTCGTGCTCAGTGTCCTGATGGCTCGGATGAGAAGCGGTGTCAGTCAGAGGATCTTTCTGCCACATGTAAGCTCACGGTTTAAAAATGGGAAGTTATATACATGCGACCTTTTGCATCTCGCCAGCAGCTTCCAGCTGGTAACCCACTGGTTAATGTTGAATTACTTGGATTTGGTCTTGTCAAATTGTTCCCAAGGTTTAATCTGCTTTTTTTTTTAACCTTTCTGCAAAGCCAACAAAGCACCCAGCACAAGACCTGTCCCTCTGAAGTGCCGTACTGGTTTCAAACCATGTAAAAACGGCCTGGAGTGTATAATGTACAGTCATGTGTGTGATGGAGAGATGGACTGCCAGGATGGATCTGATGAAGAGGGATGTGAGAGTCTCTGCAAAGCAGGTTTGTTCTGTGCATGCTGTTAAAAGAATCATTGAGACTCAGACATTTGCATTTCTTTGTTTTCCATCTCCAGGTGAGTTCCTGTGTTCTCATGGGAGGAAATGCATCCCACAAGAGCAGGTCTGTGATGGGAGGAGTGACTGTCAGGACCGATCCGATGAGTTTGACTGTTCCATACGGAGTGAGGGGTGCAGTCGGCGCTGTGACAACAACACTCGCTGCTTACCGCAGACCTTCTTGTGTGATGGGGAGAGAGACTGTGCTGATGCATCGGATGAAGAGAACTGTGGTGGGTGGATTTCAACAACCACTTTGGCCACAAGGCCAAACAAGGCTTCGACTAACAAAAGGGATGAATTGTCCCACATCTTTTTCAGGTGTGGTAGCATGTGCTGCTCAACAGTATCGCTGTGCTAGCGGTCAGTGCGTCTCTGAGGCCCTCAGATGTGATGGCTATCCAGACTGCCGAGACCGCTCTGATGAAATGGACTGTGCACGACCGCCTCGCTGCCCTGTGGAGCTCAGGTGTCCACACAGCCATGAGTGTTTGCAGAAAGAGTGGCTCTGTGATGGTGAAGAAGACTGCAAAGATGGCTCGGATGAAAAGGTAATAAGTGTGAAGGATGCTCGTTTTAACAAGTCAAGATAAGAATGTAAAAGAAACGGGTCTTCAAATAATGCAAGTTTGAGTGGTATAAATCTACTCGTGGGTCTTAATATGTGGAAGAAGGTGTTTGGCATGCTTGATCACCCTTTTTTTCCTCCCCCTCCGATGCTTAAAATGGCTAACTGGTTTAACTTCTTACCCAGAATTGTAACAACCCTCCAGCAAAGTGCAGGAAGCACCAATTTCAGTGTGGAGATGGCAGTCAGTGCATCCCTCTGTCCTGGAGGTGCGATGGGAAGGAAGACTGTTCCAATCGTATGGATGAGGACAAATGTATGCTGAATTACCTCTTTTGAAAATGTCTTTGTTAGAAAATGTTTAATAGGAAATGAGTGAGTCTGTATGCCTGTCCTTACAGGTAGCCAGAGAAAGTGCCCGTTCCACCTTTACCAGTGTGGCAGCAGAGAGTGTCTGGACCCCAAGCTGGTGTGCAACGGCTTCACAAACTGTGCTGATGGCTCAGATGAAGGCGTAGGATGTGCTCAGCGCAACTGCTCCAGTCCGTCCGCTCCGCTCTGTGACTTCCGCTGTGTCAGCACCCCAAATGGACCGGTTGGTTATTCTGGTTCTTTCCAAACCTCTGTCACTTAAGTGGTTTACTCCTAATATTTTACCCACAGATGTCTAAAATGTTGTGTATATCCCCCCAGAGATGCTACTGTGGTGCAGGGTTCAGGCTACAGTCAAGTTCCAGGTCCTGTATGGACATAGATGAGTGCAGTTCATCAGGAGCTTCATGCAAACACATCTGCCAGAACACTCCTGGTTCCTACAGCTGCCTGTGCCATCCAGGGTTCTACCTGGAGCCAGACAACAGAAGCTGCAAGACAAAAGGTACTCATCTGAACATTTTCATTTCTGTGATGTGGAACCAAATATATCAAATCTGTCTCAATTTTGTCCACTGGGTACAATATTTAGACAGCAGAAATGTGTTAAACTTAAAAGTAAATGGCCAATTATGTGTCTTAAAATGCAAAACAATACAAACTTGTTAAATTAATTGGTTTTAGTTGAGCACGCTTCCATTTGGTGCCACCTTAGCTGTTTGTACAAGCTCTTTGTAGATTTCTTTCTTTCTTATAAATGAACTTTTAATAATGAGCATTTAAGGCTAATCTGTTGTATGTACTGTATTTAATTCAGGACCAGTAAAACCAGTTTTTGTTTCCAGATGAGCCTTTGCTCCTGGCGTCCGTGCAGACTGAGCTGTTAATCCTGGGAGTCCACAGTGGGAAGATGGAGATTCTCTCCTCTGTAGATCGGCCAGTCTTCTCCCTGGATTACGACCTGCTTCAGCAGAGGGTCTACTGGCTGAGTCCTGACTACCAGAGCGTCCGCTGGGCTGGCATGAGGAGCTCAAACAAAGGGACCCTGATCAAAGGCAAACTGTCAAACTACTCAGTGACTGAGCTTTAACACTTCTAATCAAGGTAGTCCGAGCTTCAATTTGACCTGTGTTGTATGAATCCTTTTACAGGTGTGAAGTCAAATTCCCTCGCCGTGGACTGGGTTGGTAGGAATCTGTACTGGGTGGATGGACTGGTAGGCCAGATCCTGGCAGCAAAGCTCATCAATTCCACAATGAGATCCCAGGACTACACTGTGGTTCTTGGTGATAACCTGGAGCAGCCGAGCTCTCTGGTGCTGCTGCCTGAAAGAGGGTAAGTTTCTCTTCCTGGTTAATAAATATGTAATAAACCATGTTCTAATGCTGCTTACTTTGTTTTTAGGTTGATGCTATGGTCTGAGATCGGCAGCTCTCCTCAGATCGAGCGAGCTGGGATGGATGGCTCCCAGAGAAAGGTGGTGGTGAGCCGTGACTTGAGCTGGCCAGTCGGCTTGGCCTTTGACTTCCTGGATAACAGGCTGTTCTGGGCCGATGAGAAGCTGCGCTGCATAGGTTCAGCCTCTCTGGACGGAGACGACATCCAGGTGAGCAGGAGTCTGAGCATTAAACAGGCGGGTTAAAGAATCCAGAGGGGAATAAGTAATAGCCACAGCTTGTTTAGAATCCATCAAATCATTTCAACTGATGCTTCAGACTTTATTCCCACTAAACTTCCAGCCATTATCTAACATTGAAATGTCACCTTTGTGCCACTAGATCCTCCAGCTTGCTGAAACACCGAGCCCTTTCTCGGTGGCAGTTTTCAATGATCGTGTGTTCTGGTCCGACACAAAGAGGAGAACCGTCCGCTCGGCTGATAAGAAGACTGGCAAAGATCAGAAAGTTCTCCTGAAGAGGCCCGGACAGCCATTTGGACTGAAGGTAAGTCTCTGTCCTCTAAAGCAGTGTTTTTAGTGAGACTTTGTCTTGACCTTCATGTCCTCTCTTTTAGCTGATGCACGCCCTTTCCCAACCGGCTGCATCAAGCCCCTGTGAGCTCATTCGCTGCTCCCATCTCTGTCTCTTGGCTCCACCAGTACCAGGACAATCTGGACCAGCGGGTTCGCCTGCAGCTCCAGTAACGAACGCAGCAGTTTGTCGATGTCCAAAAGGGCTGCTTCTAGCGGAGGACAGGATGACCTGCTCTCTACCCAAAGAGTCGGCATTCATCCTGCTTCTGTTCAGGGACTCGGTGCATCAGGTGAAAGGCTGCAGAAACTAATGGAAATAGTTTGGTCTTTATAGGATTTATTTACTTGTGGTGTTTTTTTTCCTCCTAGATTTATTTGCGCTCCATGCGTCGTGATGGGTCTGCTTTGAAGAAAATGCCCAATGGTCGAGATTTTGCCCTCCCTGGAGTGAAAGAGGCTTTGGCCCTAGATCTTTTTATCCCACAGTTGCTGCTGTTTGTGGCTTATTCAAACCACGGATCTGTGGATGTGATGAGACTGAGCAGCTCTAAGTCTAATCCAAAACTTGTTGCTGCAGAACCCATCCTGAAACTCGAGGTAGGAATTAACCTCTAAGTTAATTTCCAGATCTAAATTTCTGAATGCCTAGACTAGTTTGACTAAAGTGACTCTCGGGTGGCTTCGAATGTGATTCACTTGTAAACTTTTTGCCCTACCCTGTCTATCAAAGAAGGATTCAGTCACAGCTCTAGCTGTTGATTGGGTAACCGCCAACGTCTACTGGAGCAGTGTAGAGAAACCAGACATCCACGTGACGTCACACTTTGGTGGTCACACCACCTCACTGCTGCACGGATCTTTGATTGTAAAGTGTTTATGTTTCATTTTCATTAATATACAATATGCTAGGTTCTGATCTAATAAGTGTGAATCCACCCCTTAGGCAGTTTCATCCATTGCCCTGCATCCTTCCACGGGTCGGCTGTGTTACATTGCGGTGGCAATGACCGGAGCTAAAGGTGAGGCGGGGGTGGATTGTGCCTGGATGGATGGTCGGAACACGGTGGTGTTGTGGAGGAAGTCCAGCATCCCCATCTCTCTGGTATTCTCTGATGCAGGAACCAGGATCTACTGGGCTGACTCTGGTAGGCTGTTACACATTTTATTACCCAACATCTGATTGTTTGGGACTTTATCCAGCATTAGCTGGGTGAAAACAGTGATGTCAAGTATACCTGTAAGAAGTTGGCCCATGTACTGATATTTGAATGTAGCATTGAGCTGTTAGCTAGCTGAACAGTAGTTTTCAAAGGTTGGGTCAGGACTCTGCTGAGACCTCAGAACTTGTGCTAAATTTAAATCATTGTTTCAGGCTTGGCTGTCCAATGCACTTGCAGCATTGGTGTAATTTTACTAATGGTGATTGGGGTCACAAGTTTTTCTGCCCTACATCGGTCTGGTTTAAGTAAAATGACACCAAAAAACAGCAAATGTGACATACGACAAGATTAGTTTGTTGATGGCTGCAATAATTTTAATTACAGATAATTTTAATGTCACCGTTTTTTCAGGTGAAGGAGTGATAAGCTCCATTGGAGTGGATGGATCCGGGTATAGGGAGTACAAAACGGGGCCCAATCTGCTCGTCTCATTCACGCGCATCGAGAACCTTTTCCTCTGGGTCACTCGAGACAAAGGTATGGAGCAAACATGGCTGCTGGCAAATGTGATTCTGAGATGTCATCCTTGTCCTAAAAATCGAAACCTTTAATACAAATGCAGCGAGTGGTCAGCTCTGAAGAGGGACTGATTTACATTCAGGCAGCAGGTGGCAGCAGAGGCAAATAAAAATCTGTCAACTTCATCTGACCCATTTTCTTAAAAAAGCTCAGAACAGAACAGAATTTCTGTTTCTGCTCTCGATGTTTTTGCACATTGGTTCATATTGTGTGTGTATTTGTATTGTGTGTAGATGTGAGCAAGCTGTGGTTCAGTGACGGACGGCAGCCTAAACAAGTGTGGTTTGAGACGAAGAATGCTGTGGTTGAACTGAGATCCTACAACAACGACACTCAGGCTGGTAAGTGTGTGCCTCTGTGTTTCTAATACTCAAAAGACCACAAGGAGAGGGTGTTTTTAAAAAAATAAATAAAAATGTAACTAACTGCTTTGTGGGAGGTGATGGATCTCATGTCTGCAGCACCAGCAAGTTAGAAATAAGATCTGGCATAGATCATAAGTTGTGGCTGGACCGGACTTTGAAAGGCAGTGACGAAACAAAAAATTGGGGTAAAAAAATAAGATTTTATTTTTTAAAGTCCAGTAGGTAGCTGGTTCTGATGTCAAGGTCATGAGATTGAAGCATTTTCACAAACCTGCTTTAAGCATTTAATAAATCAAAAACATTTCAGTCACTTAAAAAATGTTTTAGAAGTTAAATATGGAACAAGAACACAAAGGCGACGTCTAGTGTATGGAGGATGCAAGGTTTCCAATCAGGCTGCCAGGTTTGCTAAGTGACCAGCCAGCACCATGTCTAGTGACGAACAGTACAGGGTAAGGACTAATTTCTGCTACATTTATTTTACATTTTCTGGGCTCTGAAGCAGCTGCTTGACTTGCTGAGTCTGCCATTTTCCACCGTGCCAGCCTTTCTGTGACAGGCAAACGGTTTACTGGAATGGTGCCTTCTATTGACTGGATGTAAACATAAACTCAGTGTTGTGCCAGTCAAAATAAAGATCGATTATTTTTATAATCTAGATATTTAAGGAAATGCTGTACCTTCATTCTGCACACTTGAAGGTATTTTTAAAGTTTTATTAAATTGTTCCATGTTCAACATGTAAGTGGTAAGCAATATGAAATATAAAATTTCTTTGACAACGGTTTAACAAAATTCATCTTTTTGAAAAATTATCTGATTTCCTACCAAAAATAAGCTTTAAAAACTTCACCCCACAAATTTGTTCTTGGAAGTCCTAAATGTCTATTTGCCACTGAATTGTTAAAATAAAGTTCACAAATTTGAACCTTGAGACTATAAAGGAAAGTGAGTCTTTGTGGGACTAGAGAATCACCAATAAATGACTTACAAATAATTTGAACACATTAAATCATGTAACGGACGTTAACGCAACGGACTTCTCCTAGCTGCGGTGCAGATGAGCCAAATCTGGTTTTTCTGAAATGTTAAACCTTCAGGCTGCAGCTGAAATTGGTTTGTCCTGAAATTTATGCATAAAACCAGATATTTAACCTATAAAGTTCATTGTTTGATGGAAACCATTTTTCCATACCAAATGTGTTTATAAGGAGACTGGTAGCTAAAGTAGCATTATATACGTAACGTGGAGGTTTAATGAAGCTCAAATATGCAGGAGCCAGTCTATTTAACCATTTAAAAACAAATAAAAGGACTTTAAAACAAATCTGGAAATCCACAGGCAGTCAGTGCAAGGAGAAACGTGGTCAAATTTCTTGTGTCCCACCAAAAATCTGGCAGCTGCATTTTGCACTAGTTGCAGCCTTGCCAAAGCTGCCCTGGTCACTCAAAATAGGAGGGAATTACAGTAGTCAATCTGTGATGTTATTAAAAGCATGAACTATTTCCAACTGGTGTCCTGTCAGGAATGTTTTTTTTATTAATCGAAACGATGCAGATGATAGAGGTGGACACAATTCCATTTACATGGAAGCTGCTGGAGTTTACCCAGACAGAACAAGCTTCACTCTAGCTTTGGTTGGTCAAACTAACTTCTCCTCTCTAGAATCCACTTTGTGTAACACTGTAGAATTCCTGCCCAGGTCTGTTATGCTGACAAATAGGAATGCTACCTGGATTTGCTCAGCGGCAGCAAGCAAGACGAACCTGTCGGTCAATCACTACATGTGTATCAAGTTTCAAACCTGTGTTGTTAGACACTGGAGGCAGAATGAAAAGGTTCACTTTTGCTCAGTTTGAGCTGAATAGCTGGAGTGATGAGATACCTGCAGGGAATTTATGAGCTGTGAGACACCCCGGTCTGCTCTGGAAAAGGGCAGTGACAGATGGGAACTCCAGCAGGAACCAAACTCTATTGTTGCCCAGTCACACCTCCAGTCCCAGCTTGGAGATCGCATCACTCTTGTTTCTGTTCATGTGTAAAATCCAGCCGAGATCAGATGAAATAAAAACAATGGAGTACCGTGATTCGACGCAAAAGCCATTAAGGAAACTTGGAATTTGAGTTTCCACTCCCCCCCCCCCCCCCCCCCCCCATCTAGGAAGCAACAGCTGCAGCAGTAACAATGGCGGATGTGACCACCTGTGCCTGCCCTATCCTGGAGGTCGAACCTGTAAATGTGGGCGTGGCTTCTACATCATCAGTGACACTTCCTGCACCCCACTTCCCTCGTGTCCTCTGGGTGAGGAGTCCTGCTCTGATGGCAGCAAGTGCGTTAGCAGCAGCCAGCTGTGTGACGGGAGAGTAGATTGCCCAAACGGGTCGGATGAAGAGAACTGTGAGTTTAATGTCTAAAGGAAAAAGTAAAAAAAAAAATAATATATAAACTTTGATCATTTAAATAAAATGCTAAAATGTGATCTCTCCAGGTGTGATCTCTGACTCGACCTCTTCAGACACCAAAGAACATGACAATTCTTCATTGCCCCTCCAACCCAACCCCCAGAAGAACTCTGTCTCCTCTGATGACCTGGAGTCGTGTGATCTGGAACGCTGCAGTGGCCATGGCAACTGCATCATAGAAGGCCAATCCATCCACTGTCGGTGTCTGCCTGCCTACAAAGGAGAGTCCTGTCAGGAGCTAAATAGGCAGAGCCACCCAGCTGTAATAATGGTTGCCTTCTGCCTCGTCTCTGCAGTCGTCTTGGCTGGTTTTGTCTTCACTAAAAGGTACAGATGAGTCCTCTCGGACTTCACTCTGAAATCTTTCCAACCAGAAGGCCCTGTGTTGCAGCAGCTTGTCTCACTGATCAGGACTTTGTTTAGTTTGCTCACTTTGCTCCTATTTTAGTTTGTCTAAAATCCAGGAATAAAGTATGAACTTCAAAGTGTGAAGTACTCATAGCCTGCTGAATGTGTGAACAGTAACACATGTGATTAAACAGGAAAGGATGGGAGTGCTTCAGAAGAAGTTCTGAAAAGGACCCCCTGATGGCTCATATGGCTCTGCCTGAACAAGATTCTGACACTGAGGTACAAACATGCAAAGATGCTGGAACCATTTTATTAAACAATAAATCTAATATTGCCATAACATTTTGTGGCTGGATGTTGCGGCTTTTAAATCCGATTTTTTTTTTTTTTTTTTTTTTTATGGGGTGGGTTGTTTTTCTTGCAGGAGTCTCCAGTAGACGTGAGGAACCCGCTGCAAACCGACACTTAGACTCACAAACTGTTAAGGATCCACTGAGGCTGTGATGTTTAAGAATAAATCTGAAGAAATGCAAGGATTAATGTTTGCTGTCATGAATTAAATGTCTTTTTTTAAATAAAAATTATGAACCAAAAACTAGACTGCCTTCATTCATTCATTGAGACAAGCTGGTTTGCTTGGTCCCTGTTTACTGGTTTTTACAGGGAAATGTTTAATATTTTTTATAAACTACTTTAAAATCTACAACTAGACTGAACTTAATGGAAACAAGTGTTCTTGCTTGTTTGACCACCCTAAAATGAAAGTTTGTTAATGATGTGGTCTTCAACTTAAGACCATTTTTGAGTCTGTTGGAATGATTTTAATTTCTCAATGCTCAGCCTCACATTTGTCCTGTGTTCATGTAAAAGTCGTATAAAATAACCACACCCTGGAGAGGATATTAAAAACAAAACTCGGTCATAATGTGTGGGGGAATTCACAAAGTGGACTGCAGCTGCAGTCAGTGCTTAAAGAACCACCACACAGTCGTATGCAAGACAGGGTCCAGCTGTTGCTTTCTTGTGTCAACAACTAGAGACGGTATCAAAAGTCTCGCCTGGGTTAAAGACTAAAAGGACTGGACTGCTGCTGGGTGCTCCAAAGTTATGTTCTCTGAAAGTAAAATTTCCTTTGGAAATCAAGGTCCTAAAGTCTGGAGGAAGAGAGAAGCACATAATCCATGTTGCTTGAGGTCTAAAGTTTCCAGTCAGTGATGGCTTGGGATGCTATGTCATCTGCTGGAGTTGGTACATTATGTTTCCTGAGGTCCAAGGTCAATGCAGTCGTCTACCCGGAAGTTTTAGAGCACTTTCTGCTGACCAACTTTATGGAGAGGCAGATTTCATTTTCCAACAGGACTTAGTTCTGGCACTGTGTGCAGGGGCCATCAGTACCTTAACAGCCATGGTGTCCCTGTTCTTGCTTAGGCAGCAAACTCAACTGACTCCATACAACATCTTTGGGGTGTTGTGAAGAGGAGGATACAAAACACCAGACCCAACCATTCCGAAGAGCTGAAGGCCACTATCGGAGCAACATGGGCTCAAAACCTGAGCAGTGTCTGACTGATGGACTCCATGCCATGCTGTAATCCAGCCCAATGGAGCTCCATCTTAATATTGCATGCTGTACATGCTCATACTTTTCACTTGGCTACCATTTCAACATTTTTTTTGCATTAGCCTTAACATTTAAATTTTGAGATGCTATAATTGGAATTTTGATCAATTTTATGACCAGCATCTGTTTGATTACTGGTTTTCTCTATCAACCAACAGCAGCTGGTGTGCACATGTGACTAGATTTGCTGGAAAGAAACATGTTTTTGCCTGAAGTGAACTTTTGTCCAAGTCTCCACCACTTTATTGAGAAGTTTGTCATGCAGGTGTGCAGCGGTTAGTAAACGCAGCAGAAAAGCTTACAGTTAAACACTTCCTCTCCTTTGCCTGCAGGAACTGAAAATGAAAAATGAAGCAAAATGTTAAGCAGCTAAATATTCACCATGTGTTGACATGTTTCTTCTATTTGTCTCAAAGATGTTAAGGAAGCAAGTTGGGCTCAATTTTAAGATTTGTAAGGATGTTTTTGACTAAAGTTGTGTCTGACAGACTTAATATGCTTATATTAAATGGCTTGTATCTACAGGCCTGCGTTGTTGCAATGTTTAACCCTCGGGGCTCCACTTGGCAATAGAACATTTGTAATATTTCTGTATTTCAGTCTGTTTGTTTTTGTTCAGATTTTAGATGTGTCGCGTGCACGTCCCATTTACCGGTTCCATTAGAACTTATGAGACGGTGCATCCATCAGGGTTCTAGGGGATGTCGGCGAGTTTTATCGTATCAGATCCGGGTTTGGACCACCTAATTAGAATCGTGTCTTTTATTTTGAAGGTGAAATGACTTGCACGAATAGCAATCCCCAGAGTAGTCCACTTCTTTTAAACTCGTTACCTTTTGGTTAAGATACTAGAGAGAAGTCTGGAGGCAAGCCAAGCCTCTCAGCAATTGTTTGGGTTACCCGGATTAATTGCGCCTCTAACAGCTTATGTGGGAGGTTGGTAACTATAAAATGTTTTATGCTAGTTGATCAGGCTATCATAAGTTTATCAATTTATTTAATCAATCCAACCTTCCAGCTGGTAGAGACTTTTTCAACCTGCAATCAGAGCCAAAAATAACCTCTAATATTCTGATTTTATCGCCCTTAAGACAACTCGTTACTCGCAAGGAGGGGGGAGTTAAACTCCCCTTATCTCAAGGGTTTCTTTATATTATTTTATTACAAACTGTAAAGTAAGTCCTGATAATTCAGAGACCTATGATCGACATGCTTACCTCTGTGCAATTATGGCCAGGACCCCCAACCGTGAAGCTTTAGAGAAAACCTGAAATAATCAGGATTATGTTTCTTTTCCAAAAAAGTTTATTACAAAATAGAAAAATACAAAAATGAGTAAGTATAAAAACAACCACTATCCCCCAAGGAGGAATTAGTTCAAAATGATTAAATAAGAGTTAGTTTACACTAGCTCCTGTCTTCTGAGAATCTCCCCAGCTCTCGTCTTGGAATCCCCAAAGTCTCTCCTCTCCCGATCTGAGCTGCATCCTTTTATATCATTCCTGAGACTGCTCTAAACAATGTAAGAGTCACAAGTCATCCTCTCCTGACAGTTTAGGTCAAGGGGTCATTTACCAAATACACTTTTTTAGCTCTACATAAGACATTTGGTATCATTTTCACTACATGCAGTATTCACATGAGGGCACAAAAGTTCATGTTGCACTCCTGGAATGGGAGCACAGGTCATAAATCTTCATGTTGGTAGCAAATTGTAGATCTTCCTTCAGCATTCCTGAGGACTTCTGGGTCCAGATGGACTGTCCTTACTCCATTCCAGTCCTTTTTTTCCCGCCAGAGGTGGAGTTAGGGGCGGGACCATGGGTGGACCCATGGGTGGATCCAGAGAAGCCAGCCTGCCTTTTGACCCTTTGCCTAGTTCTGCCCTTGCCAGCAAGTCCTGAACTATTGTCCTCTTGACCCTTGTGTGACCCTTGTCTCTGACCACTGTTTCTAAGCCTTGACCGGCCAGGACTCGCAACAGATGTAACTGTAAATTTTGTAAGTAACTAGAAGAATGCTATTTTAGAATGATTAAACAGGGTTATGGATTACTTCAATATTTTTTTGTTTAAACGTATATCCATCCATCCATTTTGATCCGGAGTCGGATCGCGGGGGCAGTAGCCTAAGTCGAGAGGCCCAGACTTCCCTCTCCTCAGTCACTTGGGCCAGCTCCTCCGGGGGAATGCCAAGGCGTTCCCTGGCCAGATGAGAGACACAATCCCTCCAATGTGTTCTGGGTCTGCCTTTAGGTCTCCTCCCGGTTGGACGTGCCCGGAAAACCTCACCAGGGAGGTGTCCAGGAGGCATACTGACAGGATGCCAGAGCCACCTCAACTGTCTCCTCTCAATGTGGAGGAGCAGCAAATCTACTCCGAGCCCCTCCCGGATGACCGAGCTTCTCATCCCACCTCTGCCAAGTGCTTCTTTTTCTACACTTGAAAAGACCAGACTTTGGCTTCACTCAGATGTCTTTATTTGACCAGTGTCAGGATCATCATAAGCATCAGTATCAGGTGAAAACCTTTAAATACAAAACAGAACGTTTTAACAATCACACAAACACCAAACTGAATCAACAAATTAAAAAGCATTTAAGCCAACATCTGTAATTTACTTTATACACAGTTACCTTTTCAGTATTTAACCTGTGTTTTTTAAACATTTTAATTAAGGTTTGAAACAAGGATCATTGTTTACAAAGAATCTGATTTCATTCTAACCAAACACTTTTCTCCAATTCAAAACACAAACTGTCTCCCAACACATGTGTTTGCCACAAGAGCTTGGATCAAACACAAGTCCATATGAATCAGTCCAAAAGCTCGCCGACAGTCCTCCTCACAGTTGAATTGTTTGCTTGCCTCTGCCATCTCAGTTTGTCACACACTGGCTGAATGTCTGCTGCATGCCTTGAGAAACCACTGAATTGTGAGGTTGTGTGCTCTTGATTTCTTAATTTGGCTCACCTGGAGGAGGACACACACCAGAGTTCACAAGCCCCCTCTGGCCAGTGAGAAGATTGCATGCAGAGCTCATGTGCAGATACTGTGCAGAAGAGACAGCATGAGGAAGAGACAGTTGACAGAGTAATCTCTGCCAAGTCAGCATGACAATCTCTAAGGGAGAGCCCAGCCACTCTTTGGAGAAAACTCATTTTGACCGCTTGTATCCGCAATCTCGTTCTTTCTGTCACTACCCAAAGCTCATGACAATAGATGAGGGTAGGAACGTAGATCGACCGGTAAATCAAGAGCTTCGCCCTCTGACTCAGCTCTCTCTTCACCACGACAGACCGGTACAACACCCGCATCACTGCAGATGCAGCACCAATCCTCCTATCGATCTCACGCTCCAGTTTTCCCTCACTCGTGAACAAGACATACATAAACTCCTCCACTTGGGGCAGGACCTCATCCCTGACCCAGAGAAGGCATTCTACCCTTTTCCAAATCAAGACCATGGTCTCAGATTTAGAGGAGCTGATTCTCATCCAAGCTGCTTCACACTCGGCTGCGAATCGCTCCAGCGAAAGCTGAAGATCACGTTCTGATGAAGCACACAGGACCACATCATCTGCAAAAAGTAGAGACCTGATCCTCAGGCCACCAAAACAGATGCCCTCATTACCTTGGCTGTGTCCATGAAGGCTATGAACAGAATCAGTGACAAAACACGACATGGACATAAATCATTCTTCATTCTGGGTTAGATCTTGTTCTGCTAAATGCATCAGCACTTTGTTTATAATCTATTTCAGTTGCACTTTCTGCTTGTTTGAGCAAATAAATTAAGCTTTAAGAAGCTTTATTTCTGCAATTTATTTATTATCATTTTCATTAAATTGAAGTTGGACAGATGACTTGATTATGACATGAAAATTCAAAGTTTAAGGACTTGAACTTGACTTGGACATTCAGATCATTGACTTTGGACTCGACTTGGACTTGGTTGTCTTTGACTTG